AAAGCCCTTTTACAATAGCAAAATAAGCAGATAAGACACTTAGCAATATACTTAAGAAATATGTAAGGCCCATATGAAGAAAACAATAAAGACTACTCTTAGAGGCACAAAAGTAGACTGGAGCAAGTGGAAAGACATCCCTTGTTCTTGGTTAGAATGTCTCAACATTACTCATGATTAAGATATGTCTTCCCAGGGCGCCTGGGTGGCTCAGTGGGTTAAAGCTTCTGCCTTCGGCTCAGGTCATGATCCCAGAACCCTGGGATCGAGCCCCGCATCGGGCTCTCTGCTCAGTGGGGAGCCTGCTTCTCTTCCTCTCTTTGCCTGCCTCTCTGCCTACTTGTGGTCTCTGTCAAATAAATAAATAAAATCTTAAAAAAAAAATATGTCTTCCCAAAGTTAACTGACATATTTAATATGATCTCAATAAAATTTCCAGTGGGCTTTTTTTGAAGTTTGAGCAAGTAGATCCTAAAGTTCAGACTTTATTGAAATATACTATGAAGTCTGTAATAAAACAGTGTATTATTGGCACATGAATAGACATAATTAGAATAGTACAGAAAGTCTAGAAATAGGCCAGTGTATAGTATGACATAGAAGTGTTATACCTCAAGTCACTGGGGCAAATTAAGTATTAATGATACTGGATGGCTATTTGGAAAAAAATTAAATGAAATCCTTTCCTTAAACCATATATTTAGAATAATTAACTCTAAATATATCAAGGATTGAAATGTAAAATGTCAAAGTATGCAAGTATAAGAAGGAAATATGAGTGAATTCCTCCATAACCTAGGTTTCAAGGAAAGGCTTTCTAATTGTCTAAAAATTCAGATGCATTAAAAAAGGACCAATTACACAAAGATAAAAATCATTTGTAGGCAAAAGACGTCATAAGCACAGCCAAAAGGTAAGTGACAAACTGGGAAAAATTTTTGTTACATATATCATAGGTAAAGGACCAATACCCCTAATTTATAAAGAGCTTTTAAAAATGAAAGCAAAGGACCAAAAATTCTATAGAAAACAAGGGAAAAGAGATGAATAGATAATTCCCGAGAGAGAGAGATAAAAATGGCTCTTAAGCATGAGGAATGATGTTTGACTTCACTCATAATAAGAAAAATACAAATTAAAAACACAGAGATACCATTTCTCAAACACAAGATTGATATAACTTTGTTGACTGGAATAAATTCAAAAGACTTTGGTGAGGCTATGGGGAAACAGGCATTCTTCCTATATCTTTGGCAAAAATGAGAAATGGTACACCTCTGGAGGGGAACTTAGTAATATCTGAAAGTACTACATGTGCATTTACCCTTTGCACCGTAATACAACTTCTAGGAATTTATCCTGAAAATATACCTCTAACAATATAAACTATGCATATGATCAAGGTTATATGTTGCAGGATTATTTGTAGTCAAAAAAAAAAAAAAAAAGATTACCTACCTAAACATGAAAGCATAGAAGACTGGTTAAATAAATAAACAATGAAATACACACACAATGGAAAACTAAACAGCTGCAAAAAGGAATAAAGAAGAGCTCTAGGGTACCTGGGTGGCTCAGTGGGTTAAAGCCCCTGCCTTCGACTCAGATCATGATCCCAGGGTCCTGGGATCCAGCCCTGCATCGGGCTCTCTGCTCAGCAGGGAGCCTGCTTCCTCCTCTCTCTCTCTGCCTGCCTCTCCGCCTACTTGTGATCTCTGTCTGCCAAATAAATAAATAAAATCTAAAAAAAAAAAAAAGAAGAGCTCTAAGAATTGATATGAAGTGATTACCAAGAGGTATTAAGGGAAAGATGCATAGTACAAAAGAGGATATATAAAATGCTACCCCTTTTGTGTAACAAAGGAGGAAAAATAAGAAAACATACTTATGTCTATCTATCAGTGCAAAGAGAAACACATAAAGGATAACCAGAAAGCAATGAAGGTCATAGCCCATGAAGGATTAGGGGTACAGGAGAATGGGGTGAAAGTACCACAGGCAGCACTTCTTTGAGTATAACCTTTTGTATAATTTTTATGTTTGGAAGTGTGTGACTATCCTTCATACCTAAAGAATTACATAAAAAAGAACAGGAAAGAAAAAAAAAATACCAAAACAGCAAACTGAAACAAACAAACCTTGTATTTCTAATAAATATCATGATTGCAGTGAACAAAATGGAGGAAGGGATGGAGGGAGGCAGGCAGGCAAATCCAAATAAATATGAACACAATATTTAACCATGAACCCTTGGTCTTGGGCAAGGTGAAGTGTGGGGGCAGAGTGAGAATTACAAACAAATCTCGAATAATATTAAATTTGTTTCTTGTGATGGTATGAGTGAAACACTCCTGAAACTGCTTTGATGTACTATAGGACTGAACCAATGAGTACACATGTTGATGTTGTTGGGAGCCAGGGTTGGTTATCTTCATGGGAGGAACATGTAAATATGGAATGGGGGAAGGCAAGAAAGAACAGATAGAAATATAGGTATCAGTGTGAACTTATGATTCCTGAAATATGTATAGGTATGTATATATGCATATGCATGTTAACATGCATATACATGTGTGTTAATGTGTGCATATGAATCTATATGTAAGAGAAGTTTTATGTATATGAAAGCATGTATTTCTTAGTTCTGTCCATTGAAGAGTAAAGAAGCAAAGATACCCCAGTCATGATGGGTACATACGGCACTCAGATCTTGGTGCCTAATACCATTCACCCAATAAAAACAGCTATGTTTCCTCAGAGAAATAACTGATTCTAGAGCTTGGACAGTGTGGATATAAAGCAAACCTTATAAGGTAAACATCTTCTTAATGCCAGAAAATAAGAAAGTGCTCAAAAAAATTAAGGGAGGGTGGGTGTCTATTTACAAGCTAGCTTGAAGGTGCTATCTCTAGCCAAGTCTGGGACAATTTGGGCACCAAAGTATCAACAGTAATGAGTTATAAATCTTTGAAAAAAATAGGTGCTCATGTGACCACAATAACAATAAATAGATAAATGAATGAATGAATCAATCAATGAATGAATAGAAAAGAAGGGAAGATTCATAGAGAATGCTGAGAACCTCTGGTAAATGCCGTAGGAGTCCAAAGACTGGATCAGGAAAGATTTACGAATGGATGCTACACCTAGGGGGAAATTCTGATGAGGATATTTGCTAATCTTAGAGTGTGTCCCCACTGACAACTTATGTACAGTGAAAACACTGGGAAACACCTTGATAGGGTGATGGAAATTAACATCAACAATGAAGGACAGATAGAGATCATGTGCCTCCAAACGTGACCCGAGGAAGGGAACAGCATCACTTATACAGTATTCTGACCAATAATGCATAACCTCAATTTAATTACAAGAAAACAGCAGACAAATTCAAACTGAGTAACAGTCCATTGCAGGGTGGGGGTTGTAGTTCGGTTATATTCTTCAAAAATGTCAATGTCATAAAAGACAAAGAAAGAAAAAATGCCATGATCATTGCTAGGTCAACTGAAAAATTAATATAAGGATGGCAGAATAAATAAAAATACTGAATATGGTATCTAAAAAATGTTACCCATACATATATTCATAAATACAGATGAGGGACAAGCACATGAAGTGAAGGAGGCTATCTGTAATTCTGGTAAATGTTCTTTTTTTTTAAACCTTTTTGGAAGTTTTAGATGTTTAAAAATGAGATATAATGAAATGCACACAAGTTGTGTTTTCTTTGCCTCTCTTCACGGTAGTTTATCCCTAGGTAGGTAAGAATACTAAGGAGGTGAGCCAGGCTGCCCTAGAAAGGAATGAGCAATGGCTACATTGCTTCTATGGACATGGGACCTCCTATCTGCCGTATATTGTTTATCTGCTGGTGTGTGTTGTATATGACCGCATTCGTGAAGTTATGCACTATGACAGAAAGACTTCCCTTTAATACCACAGTTCCCATTCATAGTTTCCGTTTTTTTCTGGGGATTTAAAAACTAACGTCATGTGAGAGAGATCATTACTAATAGTCACCTCACTGGAAATATTACCCACCCCTTCCATGCAGTATTAAGTTCCAAACAGGCAGGGATTTGATCTACCTTTATTATTCTCAGGGAACAGAGGAGTGCAGTGCCAGAACACAGTACAAACTGAACACGCTTTGTTTTTAAATCAAGGAGCGGTCATCAATATTGTTCATGCAAAATGAATGTAAATGATAATCTTATTAAGTCAAGAAATTTAATGGGAAGCCTGCAGAACAGCCTCCATCATTTTCAAGGTAAAGTTCCATCCAAAGATCTTTTTCTTTTTTAATTATGAACAACAAAAATCATTAAAAAAAAACAAACAAAAACCCAGAGGGGTTAAACTGCATGTGACATTTATCCATAGGCATCACAAAATGTCTTTTTTTTTTTTTAAAGGAAAAACCTAGATTCAAGTTTGCCTGTCTTGTCTTCTAGTTAGAAGGAAAACTGTAAGTCCTTAAATTACTTCTGTTTCCTTCACATGTGTATTTCAGGATCCTTACGTAAAGGTACTATAGAGGAATGTGTTTTGAAACATTTAACTGGCTTTATAAAAGGTGTAATGTGTTGGGAGGTGACTAATCAATGTTATTTCAAAAAGGGAAATCCAGGTTAAAACTGAACTGTTTCCTAGTGCCTGTATAAGAATGGAGAATTTATGAATTGACAGGAAATTTCAGCATAAGAGTCTCTCCTCTTCGGGATTCCCTTAGGGTTTTATCAAATGTGAATAAGTATAGCCTTATTATCAGGTAAATAATATTCTATCAAGTAATTCTTATTAACACATGAATGGTCACAGAAGTTCTAATTTTCTTTGTCAAATCCCAGCATGAGATAGAAATCATAGCTGGTTACTATTATTTTCATTCAACAAAATTATTTCTTTCAGTAACAATAATACAGATGTAAATGGACAATTTTAAGATATGACTTGATATAATAACATTAACTCATCTGGTTTGATTGCCCTCTTACCTAATGTTATCCAGCTAATGATCTGGTTAAAAAGAGGCAGTCCTTGTTTCTTGAGCAAACTATCATGGGTCGTATATACAACATACATGGACAGCACAATGCTCAGCATCTGAAAGTAAATACAAAACACACCAGTAGAAGAGAAGGTAGTGAAAGACTAATTTATATATAAAAAGAATCCTTAGAAAATTGCTTGAACAATAGGAATCTAGCCCCAAAGCTACTGAAATTGGACCAGTTCACCATCTCACAGCCAAGGCTATAGGATAGAGCTCTGGTAGTAAGCAAAGGCCCTCCTTTACAAGGACAAAATAAGGCATTTTACATTTTCAAGAGTAGTCTGATATATGTGATCACACCATATCTATTTAGAAATACTCATTATTAATGTTGAAGATTTCTTAACTCATGGAAATGCAGACGGTGCCCTATGTTTGAGTGCCTTCTACCTGTGGCTCTCACCCAGTCATATCCATGGACTCAACACATATTTGGGGTCTGAATGTTCACCTGGTACTGGGAACACAAGGAACACAATATTCTTCAGAGAATATATATAAATGTGGAGAACTGGTAAACTATGGCTTGTAGGCTGGTGGCCTGTTCCTAGAAATACTGTTTTCTTGAAACTTAGTCATTTATGTGTAATCTAAATTCATTCATTCATGTGTAGTCTACAGCTCCACATACACTACAGTGGTAGAGGTGAGAATTTACGACAGACTCCTTATGACCCTCAGCTGAAAATATTTATAACCTGGCGCTCTAGAAAATTATTTGCCAACTCCTGAACTAATGGGTTATTTGCTACTTTTAAGAAATGACATAAATAAAGTAATATCCTCTAGAGATCAGATTAGCAACCTCATCACCAACCCTTGAGGTCCCTTTAATTTCTCTTATATTTTCAGTGAATTCGGAAAAAAAACTGAAAAAAGAATTTTAGAAAAAAAATTATTGATAAAGCTATGACACAGTCCTAGGATCCTTTCAATTGCAAGACACATTCTCATGTCAGAGATGTTAATATGTCAAAAGATATTTATCTTGGAATCACCAAAAATATGCTATACAGTAGAGCAATTAATTCAAATTAATAAAGTTAATGTAAAAACAAATTTCATAACAGATTTGCCAATCAGGGGTATTTCCAGCAAAGACTGTAAGAATTTTAACATACTTGGTCCTTTAGAGTGGGATCCAGAAACATTCACTTCTGCCAAAGTAGTCATAATTATAGGTGAATTCCGTCAAAGCTACCTATGGGCTTTAGTGTAAAGCCAGTCAGTGTACCATTTAAAATGAAATATACATTCCTTTGTTTTGACAGAACATTTGACAAAATATTTCTTCTCATTTTATATGTCCTCTGTTGTTCTCCAAGAATAAAATAACATCTTTTAAGTGTTGTTATACTTTTATTTTAGAGTGTTTTTGGCATTACTTTCTATTACCCCAGCTTTGTTCAGAGGAAATTTTTTGAGAAGACTCCTGTAAGTTTTCTTTTGTCAGTGTTCTGGATGTGTTCTTTTATTTTTTTTTGTAAGAAAACCAAACAAGTAGTTTCCATGCTCACAACTCTATATTATCTCTACAGTTTAAAAACAAACAGACTGAAGCTATATCACTGAAAATCGCACATCTAGTATGCAATGTAACTGGGAATTGACCTGATTTTGAAACCTCAAGTTCAAAGTTCTTTTCACCACACCAAAGCCAGCAACCAAGGTGACGTCTACTTTCCCTGGCACATCATCTGAAGCATTAATCTGGCTATTTTTTATATACACATACTTAGAGGCTCCTCTCACGTCAAAGATGACCCTTCCCCTGACTCGAAGGCGCAATACAGAATCTCAGACCAAAGGAGGCTGTTTACAGCTCAGCTTTTTGGTCAATACGGATGCCTCTTATACCTCCCTAACCTCTGCTCTCTTGGCATCTTCGGGCTGCCTCCTGCTGACCTTTTGGCTATTTCATACCTCTTACAGAATATATTTCCATGTAATATCTTAAACAGAGAACTTTCTTTTCAGCTGGCAGGCACCAAGCAATGTAAATATGATGGCATCTTAAGAACAATATCATTAAGGGGTGCCTGGGTGGCTCAGTGGGTTAAAGCCTTTGCCTTCGGCTCAAGGTCAGGATCCCAGGGTCCTGGGATAGAGCCCCACATAGGGCTCTCTGCTCAGCAGGGAGTCTGCTTCCTCCTCTCTCTCTCTGCCTGCCTCTCTGCCTACTTCTGACCTCTGTCAAATAAATAAATAAAAATCTTAAAAAAAATTAAAAAATAAAAGAACAATATCATTAAATACAACCAGAAGATCCATTTGGTCTATCATTAGTATAACACGGTGTTGAAAACCTGTAACTGACCTGAAATAGATGTAACAGCAGCTCTTCATTTATAAAATGATCTTTTCTTTTTAAGAGAGATGTTACAACACACAGGGATAGCAGGAGAACCAGCAAGCCAGCACCCATTCTGTTTTAAAACACAATTCACAATTTTAATTTTTCTTAAGATAGTTATTGGAACACATATTATATAAACATGTCAGATATTTACTCTAATGTAGACCCTATTAGTCATTTGGTTTTATCAAGATGAAGGAGCAAAATAGATATGTTGGTATAACAGGAATAAAAATCACAGGATGAAGATGCAGTAGGGGACGCCTGGGTGGCTCAGATGGTTAAGTATCTCCCTTTGGCACAGGTCATGATCCCAGAGTCCTGGGATTGAGTCCTGTATTGGGCTCCTTGCTCAGTGGGGAGCCTGCTTCTCTCTCTGTCTGCCCTTCCCTCTGCTTGTACTCTCTCACTCTGATAAATAAACAAATAAATAAAATCTTAAAAAAAAAAAGATGCAGTAGGGATGGGGTTATTTTTCATTTCTCACAATTTTTTAGTTATCTTTACCTTATTTCTTTACTTTGACTTTTTGAACTTCTAAATTTTTTAATCTGTTGATTATTTTGATTTTTTAAACTTTTATACATACCAGCTATCATAATTCTTAGCCTGACTTGGATAAATTTACAGAAAACAACATAAAAATAGTTATATGAACATATCATCAGTATCTACAACATAAATTTTCTGACTATGAGCACTAATTCACACAAAAAGGATCAACATTTCTATTCCCTACTATTGTTAGGAGGACAACATGTTTCCTTCTAGCATTGATCTTGGCACTTTCCTCAGCTGTCCGGAGCTAAAGGAAGGGCAGGACGGGGATCACCAAGGTAGCATGCAGGTGAGGCATCTGTACGGTAAAGAAACAACAAATTACACTTTTTTTTTTTTTTAAGACAGGGAGGGAGGAGGGTGCGGAGGGGCAGAAGTAGAGGGACAGAGAGAATATTTAGCAGGTTCCACACCCAGTTGGGAGTTTGATGTGGGCTGGCTTGATCTCACAACCTGAGACCTGAACCTCAAGACCTGAGCTAAAATCAAGACTTGGATGCTTAACAGCCTGAGTCACCCAGTACCCCGATAAATTACACTTTTTCAAGAACACCAGGTATGGTATGGTTCCTGAAGCTGAAGGAAACTGACACCAAGGAAATGGTATACTAATATTAAGCTATATTTCTCGCCTCCTAAAAATCTGAGTAACATAGGACAACTGAAATAAGGTTAAGGACACAGTCTGGAAGAAGGCAATACAAAAACTAAGAGAAAAGGAGTTGGTTAAAGAGAAATAAGAAAGAGCAAAAAGCAGGGCTAAAAATGAATGCAAAGCAGGAATTCCTAGGAAAATATTTGCTTGTTTTTGTTTTTGTTTTGATTCTTTTAAGGGGAAAAAGTAGTTATACATTCAACATGGGTTACCATTAAAACTTATGAAAATAGCTATCTATGATCAAGATTCTTTGTTTGCTTTTCCTTTTAAAAAATAATTTGGTATTTTAATTCACTGGCAAATATAGAGACTTAAGTAAGTAATTCACTGGCAAAAATAGAGACTTAAGTAAGAGTTATTGTTATTTTTTATATTTTATTTTTCCTTTAATTTTATCCTTAAATGTTTCACATATCTGTCTTGGTAAGTTTCTAAAGAAGGGAGGTGATGTGAAAGATCAAATGGTGAGTAGAAATTTCTCCATGAACCAGGAGTCAAAGTAAAGAAGTTGCAAATATAGCTACTAAAATACCAGCACAAACTTAAATCACTGAGGAATTTAAATTAAGAAGCATAGAGGGAAAAAACATAATTTTTAAAAATACAAATTAGATTTCTCATGTTTTAACACGTTTGCATCTTGAAATCAGCTTTAGCAAAATATGCAAGTGGCAAATTTCTATGGAGACTATTTATATAATCTCTTCTCCTTTTAGTATATAAATTCTGCTCAACTATGCCAACACTGCTTGAGCAGGACAGAAAGGCAGACTGACCAAAGTGGGGAAAGGGGCTTTATAAAAAGACAATAGGAGAGCTCACACAGAAATACGAAGCAAGAAATAAATGAAAATATTTGAATTCATCTTCTTACATACTATTATAGTTTATGACAGATACAAAATGTTTTTACTTAGTAACACTAATAAATTATGGCTTAGAAGTATGGTCTTAGAATTCAATACAATTATTTTGGGCTCTACTAATAAACGGATTTTCTGGAATAATTCCTGACTTATTCCATATTAGTAATCCACAGAAATGAGATAAATGTGTTCACTGATAAATATCACATAAATAACATAACCAAAAATTAACATATACTTTAAAGAAATCATTTAAAAACTATCATTCCTTCAGCTAAAAAAGATCTACCCTCATCAATTAAAGATTAGGTTAAAATGTTAAAAAGTTGCTTATAAAGAGTTCAAAACAAAGTAGCAAAGATAATTGCATGATTAGAAAATGAAAGGAAATGTTACATGAAATACAGATCATTTAGCTTATCAAGCACACACAGGCACACGCACATACACACACAGCCAGTGGATTTCTTGATAATAATTTAAAAGCAAAGGTCATCAATTATTTTAGAGATGTATTTGGGATATATTGAGAAGAAATAAGTGTGATGGCAGCATGCACGTATACAGAATTTTCTAACAGTTTAAATGGTTAGATATGGTACAGTTGTCAAGGTACAGAGCTTCCTCCCCTAGAGATCATTACATGCAGATTAGAATAGGAGACAATTTCATTATTCTAAGACATATAAAGTGTGGACGTGCTCAAAGGCAAAGATGAAGATTGCATCAATGGGTTATAGATATTTTCATTTTTGGCAAACAGAACATTTTTTCATATGAAACCTTTTTACTGATTCCTCAATATACAAAAGCTTCTAGACTTTTTTTTTATTTGGCATTTTAAATTATCAGTGTTTGGTCCAATTTCATTTTTTTGAAGGCCCAAAATCATCTCCAAGGAGCCTTAATGCTCCCCAGAGCCTGAGCCAAAATCTCTGAGTAATTGTTTGATATTAGTATTTTAACTTTTATTCATTAGTTTATTTTGAAACTCATGACCAAGATTAGGTTCAGATTTCATGGTGTGGATTGAGAAAAACAATTATGTTGAAAAGAAAATAAGTTAAAATATTGTCCATACACTAGAAAGATATCTGGCTTTCGTCCTACAACAGGCATCAGTGGGAACACTGCCAGGAGCAAACAGAAGAAAATCCAACTCAGTGAGATGCTCTAAAATAAATAAAAAAGTTATCTTTAGACAAGTGTGGTAAAGAAAACTGTCTTTAGTGTTTCGCAGGCTATATGGCTGTGAAGACTACATGCAAAACCTGAGAGCTGTTTAAACTGTAAAACAGTTCCTCTGGGTGGCGGATGTGCCATCTGATAGGTACTGTATTAGGTATAATATGAGCATTATCTGATTACCTTCCCACAGTAACCTCATAAGGTGGGTTATATTACTCACAATACTTCAGATGAGGAAACGGAGCTCAGAGATGTTAAAGTATCAGTGGTACCAGGTCTATGACCAGCAAATGAAACAGCCAGGATTTAAACCTGGGTCATATTTCACAGCACGGGCTTCAATAAACTTAAGAGACACCATATACTGATGGCATCTAAAGGAAAGCTGGCCTGCAATCGTAATTAAGTGATTGAGCTCAGGAGGGAAGGAAGTAGAAATACTTCTGCAATTAAATTAAGATACAAAATTATCAATCACTCCCTTAGTTGGAGAATCTTCTAAGTTCTCATAGGGTGGAAAGAAGATATTTCTATCCTCCTGTTACCTCCATCAAAAAAGTATCAAAGTGGAAACATGAGCCAATTCTCTGGGCTGGGGGAAAGGTGCCTCCTCTGACTTGAGTTCCGAGCACTGCCTCCTAAGCCGCTGGACTGCTCTAGACAATACCATCCTTTAGATATTTGAGGCTAATGGAATCTAGGAAGCAATTTAGAGAAGGACATACCAGTTCTGCCTCAGAGTATCTCAATCATTGCATGACCAATTCATTTTGATATGAAAGTCTATGTGAATCACTTAAAGGTAACCTCGGTCCTCCTGTCAAAAGCACCAGGCTCTTTATGTAAGGACACGTTCTACCCTTTTCTCTAAAAATGAACAATTCCCTGAGTTAAACACATATCAAAACAAAGTAGTGGCTCATCTGTCCGATGTCAAAACAAGTACTTGTACCTTTGCTCGAGTCCGTAGCTGAGTGATAAATGGCCAACACGCGAAAGCTACAAGTCCAGCGGTGAGCATGTAGCGGTAGAAAAAACTGAGAACCTAGCAATGCATTCCAAAGAAGAAATGAAAAATGAGGTCATTTAAAAGGAGTTACATATGTATGAAAGAGATCTGAAAATGCTGTAATGCGGTAAGTTACTCACTAATACTTCAATTCCCAGGGTAAAGATGAACAGGTAGGCAACCAGCTGACTTGGAGGAAAGGTCAACAGGGATAAGACAAAGTCTTGAATGACTTGAAACCTGTTTGACAAGATTATTTACAAAAAGATTATTTATACTATATAGTGAACAAAACTTTAGGTTATGTATGGTAAAAAATAAAAACTGGGCAAACCTAGAAATCAGGGACTGACTTTTCAATTCATAGGTTATTCAAAAACTAGTATAATCTCTAACAAATTTCTCTCAATGGCTTCTTCACTTAAGTCATTTTTTTGAAAGCTAGAAGTATTTTAGGAAAAAGTGTAATTTCTGAATTTGATAATGATCACAAAAATTTGTTTTAAAAATAAACATTAGGGGCACCTGGGTGGCTCAGTTGTTAAGTGTCTGCCTTTGGCTCAGGTCATGATCCCAGGGTTCTGGGATTGAGCCCCACATCAGGCTCCTTGCTCAGCAGGAAGCCTGCTTCTTCCTCTCCCACTCTCCCTGCTTGTGTTCCCTCTCTCTCCCTATGTCTCTCTCTGTTAAATAAATAAAAACCTTTAAAAATAAAAATAAACATTAACGATAAATAAATAAATGTTTGATCTTAGGCTACACATGAGTACATACAATTAGAGATATATGATCAGAAATAAAATACAATGAACCCAAATGGACAAAAACCGGAAAAATTTTTAAATTCACCAAGGCTAATCTTATACTGAAATCTCAAATATCTTAATAAAATGAGTATAGGTTTTCCTAATCTAGGTAGAGAAAATCTTAACTGCACTTTTTCTCTGAACTAAATAACCTTTTCCAAACCCAATTTAAGATGCTGCTAATTGTACACTCATTGTAATTAAATGTGAATCCATAACCGTTAAAAATGTATTACATACTTGAGTACTTTACATTTTATGACTGGAAAAAATTTTTTAGCATTTGTAGTGATTAAGTAAGTAATTATAAAAGGTCAGTATCATTTAGTTTATGATCTTTTTCTGACTGAAAACAATGGCCACATAATGTTATCAAACTACTAAGTAAATATAACACCAGTCCATAGGAGAATGCTTCTTTTGTTTTCAACAGTGAATAAGCATGGGAAAACAAGAGATGATGCTATAAATCATTTAGAAGATCTTATAGAAAAAGTGAGTTTTTATGTTTTATTTTCTATATAAGCTATCAAAAAGATAAAGATAGAACACAATGTACATTCAAAATCACCTTCCCTCTTAAAGTTTAAATCCATACGTCATCTTCATAATGAAGACATTTAATAATTCAGGAGAGGTTCTGTAGTAGAACAGAATTTTCTGCAAGGATAACACTTCCATTCTAAAAATTTTTAAACCAGGGGGTGCATGGGTGGCTCAGTTAAGCCTCTGCCTTCGGCTCAGGTCATGATCTCAGGGTCCTGGGATCGAGCCCCGCATCGGGCTCTCTGCTCAACGGGGAGCCTGCTTTCCCCTCTCTCTGCCTGCCTCTCTGCCTACTTATGATCTCTCTCTCTCTCTGTCGAATAAATAAATAAACTCTTTTAAAAATAAATAAATAAAATTTTTAAACCAGAATAAATGGCACAAGAAAAAAATCTGATTTAAGTATATATATGCAGTAATCCTAGTCCTTTCAAATGGAGATGCAACACTATATCCTTTTGTTAGTGTCTTTTTGTCTTATACTTTTAAATGTTTAAAATATTAAACATTTTAATATTAATTTTTATTTTTGATATTTTAATATGTTAATATTTTTAAATACTTAATGTTTTTAAGGGATAGAAAATGTGGTCAAAGCTGGAGTTAATAAAAATTAGAAAAAAAATACACATCGTGTCTTGACAAACATGTTGGCCAACCCTGAAAATACCCTTACTAAGTCTTGGCTCTTTCTCCCTGGTGTGCTCTTGGGGTCTGGTTTTCTCAGAGGATGCCTGGATGCCCAAGACCAAGTTTAAATTCTAGGTTACTGGTGCAAATATAGAGGTCACCATAATGTGCAACATGACCCTTGCTGCCTATGAACATGAACCAGCCCAATATTTGGGTGGTTTTATTTTAAAGTGCTTAAAACTCGCCTGAGAGCTCTACCTCTGATGTCTTCTCTAATGGTAAGTAAGTTTCCCTCTTACTTCCAGGTTGTAAGGAGGCGCTTAAAGGAAGAAACCATGGCCCATGTGAATAATATCTACCACTCTCTGTAGTTATACATTACAGGCCTGGATTTAATTAAGAAGTTCCATTTATCTAGGTTGAAATGATAGCTACAAAAAGAAGGGGGAAAATGTGTGGAAAGAAAACATGTACATTTCCTTGTGAAACATGAAGATACGCTGGGATCTCAGATAATGAGACTAATTTAAAATAGAAGTTATTTCTGGCAAAGTACCATCAATATTAATTACCCTATTTATCGTCTAGATTTTTCTTATTTATAGAGGATACAAAAAGAGGGGACAAGGTCAATAGTACCTCAGGGCAATAAAGATGAAGTCAAAAGGGAAAGGCAAAACAAAAAGGATGTTTATATGCAACATTTGTGCTGCTACAAATGAAGTGAGAAGGCTCAGAGATTGGAGGGCATTATAAATATCTTTGATGATTTATGCCATAGAAATCTCATGCACTTTAAATACAAATTAAACTGTCAAAGAAATGTAAAATAAGACAGTAAGGTGTGTTACTTACTCTCTCAGCACAGCATACCATATGGGGATGGGCAACAAACAATATACGTAGTAAGTCCAGGGACAGTCTTGAATCAGAAGGAAAAATGCTACTAAAACACCAAGAGCTGTAAAACTACATGCCAGGAGGTGGCTTGGTTTCTGAAAATCAAACAGAACATTAAAACACTTCTAAATTCATATTAATTGATAGGTTTTTAAAACCATACCACTACCTGATTAATTGAAGAACTGCATTAAAAATTTTTTTTGTCATTGGAGAAGTATCATTACAGAGAAAAAAGCTGGATATCCTGGCATTGCTGTAATTTAAAGGTGATCGTGTTCCTCTAGTTTGTTTGCAAGTAACTTGTTTGGAACTCTGAACATATTTCTCTTTAGTAACAATCTTAAAAATGTTGACTGAGCTCCCTGACCAGCTCACAGAAGCCCATTTAACGCACAATAAACTGTGGGACTTAATCTTCTTTTGGAACAATGCTTCTGTCTATTCAAACTCCAATTTGACATGCTGCCCACGCTCCTCTCCCCACTGCCCAACCACAGTGTGTTCATTCAGTCATATCTTCTCTTCCCAACCACCTGCCAGACAAAAAAGGAGTTCCTCAATGTAAGCCACCTGTGATGGCCTCCATGGGCCACGAGGGCCCATGGGTGCTCTGGGCCAGGAGTAATGAAGCAAGCTTCAGGGACAGATATTCCAGTGACTGGAAAAAGAATGTATCTACGGAAAGCTGGGACAGCACCAGAGGAAAAAACCAGGAATGGAGGAGTAATACGGCATTACCTTTTGTCTGTCCTCGTTTTGTCTCTGTTTTCCTCTTGCATTGCTAGCCAAAGCTAAGTAAGGTGAGAATTAAGAATTACTCAGTGGAGTAGAGGAATTGCAGAGGAGGGAGACAAGAGATTTTTTTCCTCCCTATAATTCCTCCTTACTGGCATAAAATGTCATCAGAAAGGAAGTAAGAAATAAGGATAAACTAGGACATCGTTGTGAAAAGGGAGGTGAAACACCAGCGGTATGATGAAGAGTTTAGGACTACACAGATCAGAACTCAAAATCTGGCTCAGTCACTTGCTCTGTGTACAACCACACACAACCATGAGCAAAGTACAAAACTGTAGTGATACTTAATTTCATGCCATTTATAAAATGAGAATAATAATTCCATAACTGCTTATCATGGTTGATAATGTTTAGGTTATGCAGAGCTTAGCAAAATGTCTGGAATGTCATTAATGCCTAGTAAATAACCATTGCTTTTATTACCTTCATTTTTACTCTCTCCTCCCTTATTTCTTTGTGTTAGTCCCAAAAGGCACTACAGAAACGTGTAAGTGAGTAACAGCACTGGAGATGGAGATGTGCGAGACAGCAAGGGAGGTCCCACAGCAAGGCACACATCTCCAAGACAAGCGGGTGGCTGGAGTCTACAAGCTGAAGGTGGCCGGGCATGTATTCATTTTAAGAGGTGAGACTGGTTTCACATCATTTTGAGAATCGTAAAATAATAACAAAAGAAGTTGAAAAGAGTACTTTTAAAAACTTCCAGGGATTTTCTGGAGTCAGTATAATATGGTGTAATAATCTAACCCTTTGATACCTAAAATAGATATTACCAATGACATCCGTGTAGGAAATGAAGTCATGAAGAATTCAGTTCAGCTGAAGTAGAGATTGAAAGGCTTTTTAATAATAAGAGTGGGGGGCATTTTCTCCTTTATCATTGACTCCCCACCGCCCCCCCGCCATCAAGACACACCTGATGGTAATGAGCCACGTGGGGGGATTAGGACCAGTTCTTTGTTCAGCAAACACTTACTAAGCTGCACTCTCTATGCTGTGCTCTGTGCTAGGTGCTGGCCTTCAAGGGTTTCGAGCCATACAGGTCGAGATGGTATCATGAGACTTGGTTTAAGGGATTAATATTTGGGGATTTTTATTAGGTAATAGGAAAATAAAGGCAAGCATATGGCAAGATACAGATATTTAGTTCTAAAGCAAGTAACATTTGAACTGGCAAAAAAGCAGAGGAGAAGAGTATCTAGAAGCTACCTGCAGAATACAACGAAGAGGGGCTATAGCAAATTACACTTAAAGAAAAGAAGATATTCACTGCCTGTAATGGTGATAAATTAAAAACGACTTGTTTAATTTGGATGACAATGTCATGGAGAAGGTACATAAATTTTGGAGTCAGACCTAAATTTAATTCCAATGCTGTCCTCATAGTTGCCCATCCCTTTGACTAACCCATTTAGTCTAAAGCCCTGTTTCCTCAGCTGGCAATGAGGATCATATCTGTTGCAAACCCATGGCTCCCTCCCCCGCAGGCCCTCTATACTCAGGAACTCAGGAGGCCATACTACCTCCCTCCTCAGCTGGCCCATGCTGCTCTCCCTATGTGTCCTCTTCCCTTTTCCTACTGAGCTATCCTATTCACCCTTTAAGACTTCACTTTGGGGGCACCTGGGTGGCTTAGTTGGTTAAGCATCTGCCTTTGGCTTAGGTCATGATCAAGGGTCCTGGGATCAAGCCCCCCATTGGGCTCTCTGCTCAGTGGGGAGTCTGCTTCTCCCTCTCCCTTTGCCTCCCACCCCCTGCTTGTGCTCGCGCTCTCTCTCTCAAATACATAAATAAAAACTTTCAAAAAAAAAAAAAAAAGACTTCACTTTGGCAACAACGTTCCCTGCGAAGCCTCCCTACACCCCACTGCAGGCACCGCATTCTAACACATGCACCGCTGGGCACGGCTGGGCTTCATCTGACCTCCTAGCTGCTCTCCAGGCCTGCCTTCAGTTAAGGCTAGGGACCCACTGGCATTTTACTCTTCCTTCAAAACTGTCAAGACTGCATCTCTTCACTGGGTTATGAACTCTCACCAAAGAGGAATCAGAATGTTTTTGCAAACAAAATGAAAGCGTTCAAAATAGTTTTCATAACCTCAACGGTAATGGTTTTGTATCAGCTTGGCTAGGCGACCGTCCCCAGTTCTCCAAACACTGATCTAGGTGTTGCTGTTAGCATATCTTGTAGATGTGATTAAAGTCCACAATCAGCTGAATTTAAGTAAGGGAGATTATCCTCTGCAATTGGGTTGGGCCTGCTTCAATCAGTTGAAAAGCTTTAAGAGCACAGTGGTGGCTTCCCTATAGAAGAAGTGTAACTAGTGAGTGTAGCTTCGGCTCCTGCCCACCAGCTCCAGTCTGCCCCTCCTGAGGGCCTGACCTATGGACTTGGGACTTGCCTAACTGCCCCCACAATCACATAAGCCAATTCCTTACACAAAATCTCCTAATGTATAGATCTCACTGGTTCTTTCACTCTGGTTTAATGCTAACGAATGCACCAACTCCTCAGTAATGGTTTGAAGTCTAGAGTCTACCATCTGAGGCCTTGGATTATTTCAGTGTAATCTAAACTATTGGTATGATCTTTCATTAGTCCCTTGAACCAACCTTCTGCATTCTCCCCAAATTGAACTATTTATTTTGAAAGCAGTATGAAAGAGCCTGAATTTAAGTATCAGAAAATGTTAGTTATTTCAGGGCGCCTGGGTGGCTCAGTGGGTTAAGCCGCTGCCTTCGGCTCAGGTCATGATCTCAGGGTCCTGGGATCGAGTCCCGCGTTGGGCTCTCTGCTCAGCAGGGAGCCTGCTTCCCTTCCTCTCTCTCTGCCTACTTGTGATCTCTCTCTGTCAAATAAATAAATAAAATATTTAAAAAAAAAAAAAAGAAAATGTTAGTTATTTCATACCCATGTGTCCTTGAAGAAAACATGTATCTCTCTGAGTCTAAATCCCCCCATCTGTATTTATGAGAATCACAACCACCAAATTTAGAGTAGTGTTAAGCTTAATTGAATAACACATGTAAAGCACCCCAGACAGTCCTGGGATACTGGGGCTCAATAAATATTCCTTATTATCCCAGCATAATCATACATTTTCCCAACTCTGCCTCTGTTTATATCATTCAATTTGCTTCGATTCTCATCTGCTCCCTATACTTGTTAAATTTCCACCAGGACTTACATTTTCCTGTTATCATCACCCTCGCTAAAGTGAGCTCCTCTCTTTTTAAAATACAATGGTCTTTGTATCACAAACAATATATACTGAAGTTGTTAAATGTTAAAACTGTCTTTTCCAATGTCGTGTAGTATAGTGACCTACATCTGACAAGGTGATTATGTGGGTACATCTCTTACCTACTTTACTTAATTCCAGGCTCCTTGAGGGCAGAATCTGGATTTTATATTTTTTTGGACAGCCTAGGCAGTAGCTCGCATAATACTCTACACTCAATTAAACATTCACTGCATTATCAGATGCATGAATACAGAGAACTATCAGCCATGAAACTGTGTTGATTCATCAATCTAAAGACTTCATTATCTTTTCTCAACTATTCTCCGAATATCAAAATAAACATGAAAAAGCAGTGTCTGGCCCAAGACTGTTTTGAATTCAAATCTCAATTCCTCTACATCCTAGCTCAGTGGCCTTTTGAAAAATACTTAAACAGCTTTGTTTTCCTCTTTTGTAAAACAAAATTATAATGCCTACTTCTAGCATTATAGTACCCAGCAGAATGCCATTGCTAAAACACAGCTGGTTCTGTTTCTTTTGGTACCATGTCAAAAATTATTCTTGTCGTTGTCCATTTTACATACATTTAAATAATGAAAATTACTTGAGGGAAAATGTTAAGATGCACTAAAGCACTATAAAAAACTGGAATAGGGGTGCCTGAGTGGCTCAGTGGGTTAACCCTCTGACTTCAGCCCAGGTCATGAACTCAGGGTCCTGGGATTGAGCCCCGCATCAGGTTCTCTGCTCGGCGGGGAGCCTGCTTCCCCCTCTCTCTGCCTGCTGCTCTGCCTACTTGTGATCTCTCTCCCTCTGTCAAATAAATAAGTAAAATCTTAAAAAAAAAAAAAACTGGAATAAACACTACTGTTCTTCCTTCCCTCGTTACAGAAAAATGAAATATAAAATTGGAAAAAGCTACTACTGGAAATGTTTGCAGACTGTTAGTATCAATAATATATCATCCAGGTATATTACTTTATAGAGGATTTGGACACAGTAATAATCATTCGAATGAAGTAAAGGAAATGGAAATGGCATATTCTCCCTAATAAATGATAATTGGCAATATATTTTAAAAGAGTATAGTATTTTAATGTAGTAAAACCATATATGTGCTTTTATATTTACTCAGTTATATGAAGTACTATTAAAGTTTTTTTTTTTTTTATTGAAAGTACAGTAAATTACTTAATTCTTAAAACCAGGATTCTTAAAACAAGGATAAATAGAAAGTTCTGAGAATTTGCATTAAGAATTTCAGAAAGTTGCAAGAAGGTAAGAATAGTTCCAGAAAAGCTCATATATTATTTTTAAAGGGGCATTTTTAGTAAGTGATTTTATTGCTTTCTAGCTTCTAAACTTTTGATAGCAGGTAAAATTAAATATATTGCTTTGAAGTCGTTTTCTGACCACCTGTACTAGAAAGATATGGGATGCTTATAACATGCTAAATAATTATTAAAAGGAATAGAAAATCAACAGTTAATGTCATAGAAGGATTTAAATTGTAAGTTATCTTTATAGCCCTCTTAAGTTACAGGGCCATTATTATTAATATACCCTTTCCCCAACCAGAGAAATAAAGATAACTGAGAAAAAAAAAAAAAAAGACTCAAAACGACAAAAGCCAATGAAAGGTAAGAGTCAGCTTAGTACGATTTGCACATCGTATGAACTCGTAACAGCTGATTTGATTCAATTTCTTTCCCCGGTCCTAGTGATTTTACACCATTATCTGAATCTTCATTATATTTTCGGAACATACCTTAACTTCTTTGCTGACACCTCTGGTAAGGTTGGAATGAGACTTGATGATCAACAAAGAAGCATAAGACGTCCATCCCACAAAACCAAGAACAACATTGACACCCAAGAAGAATCTGTCATAAGTATGATAATAGGACAAGCCTTTCAGTGCAAGATGAATCAGCTCCTTGCAAAGGGAGACCTATGGAGAAAGGAAAACATAACTTGCCACATGGGAAGAACCAGAAAACCCAAGTTTTAAGGGCAAAAAATTTGTTAAAATTAGAGTGTATAACTGTAAATGATGGGTCAAGAATAGATTTTAATTACTCAAGGATCTTCTTGGAAAGTACAAGAAAAATTCCTGAATAGAATGATTTTGAATCTTGGTAAGGAAGGGCATTTTCAGTGTAAACTATGATTTGTGTAGTGATTTAAAATGATTCACTTTGTGGAAATATCTACTGGTGACATACATACAAAAAAAAGAAATGAAGTTTCTCTAATATTGATCCCAAATAGCAGAGATATCCACATTTGTATCAAGTTTTATTTTCTCATACCAGATTACCCACGTACGTCAGTTATAAAGCATCACTAAAACAGAAAAACAATAGCTCCCTGTTTTAAAACCATAACAAAATGAGCATTAGAAATGCACAGTATTTTGCTTAGGCAATCTGAGAAACTGAAAATAGAACTCTCTCCTTCTTTAAAATTATGACCATTTAATAAAAAGAAAATTAATGGAAAACATAGTGGGGTAGTTGTTGAGGACTTCAGTATGAATCGTTAGACTTCTGATAGTGGATAGATAATGTCAAATGTAATAAATGTATGTCATGTTCTGAAATGTTATGCACTTTAGTAGGATTACAGAAAATTGGGAATCTACTTTCTCATTAAAGAAAATGGCAATTGTTCATTTTTAATGCTAACCTAAAAAAGTTTACCCCGATAATATCTGAAATAACAGAAGCATTCCAGGCTAAAGCAGCTACTTAGAAAATTCAGTCCTTCCTTAATGGTTTAGGAAAGCTCCCGGGCCTGCCACTTTGCTCTCCATCGTGCACCTTGCCCCTCCCCACACCCAAAACGACGACTAGCTATTTATATAGACAAGGCCTGCGTACTTACTGCTTCATCATGCTTTCTCTGCTTTATATATGATCTTGCTTTTCTTAAAATGTTTAGCTGTTTAGATTCAGAAAGCAACCTGCAAAATAAAAGGTTAGGTTTAAAATGTTTCCTGATTTCAGTGATATATTTTTTTCTTAACTGAAAAATAAAAGGACGGTGATGGTTGAGAAAATAAAGAAATGAAACAAAACAAAACAAGGAAATAAAGAAACCAAAAGCTAATTGTAATCTTGCTCATTATCTGAACTCTCCCAAAAAACAGCTTTGGTTAAACTTCGTTTTCTTGACTCCCAAGTTTCAACTCCACACCACACTTACGAGAGTCATATGATCCATCATTTTGGAGATCTGGAATACTCTAGATAACAAAGAAATTCTGACTAAATCAATGTAATTAGTGGAACAGCAAATTAGTGGCGTGGTTTCACTGCTCAGCAGTCCTGTGCTCATCTGCACACAACAGACAAGGCAAATCCCTTTTGGCTCTCTGTTCCCTGGAGCTACACAGGGCCTGAGAATTGTCAGAAACTCCAGGCAGTCCAAACCAACAATGACAGTTAGAAAATAATTTGAATCTCCTTGCCATTCTTACATACACCATATACGTTTTCTGTTCCCTTACCTTTCGTTTCTCTTTATGTCATTTCCTTGTCCTTATTTTTACCACATAACATTTCTTAAACCTGCTTGTGTGTAAAAGATTTTTGTTATATTCTTTATTTTTTTTTTCAGCACGTTTGAAGAGAGATATATATGAAAGTTGTATGAGAAACTGCAACTTTGCCTCCAGGGAAAAAGACTAAGACTAGAACTCAGGAGCAGTAACATTTTATTATTGCTTATATAATTTTCATTGTGTATATACATTACTTTTTCATTCATATTTTACTAATGAGCTTTTATTTTTTAAGAAAATAATTAAAACATTAAAGTTTAAGCACAGTTTCTAGCTATGATGGAAAAGCTTGCATATATCAATGCTCCCACCAGGAACAACTAGAAAGCCTGATAAAATAAAATTAAAAATCACTTTGAAGGTGCTGGAGAGCTGCCGAGACCATCAAGAATTGAAGAGTTAAGATCCTAGAGAGAAGCAAACCAGAGAAGTAGACCAGCATTCTACAAAGTGTAACATTTAGAGCATCTGCCATACTTATTTTGGGCAAAAGGCTGAGAACTTGGGCATACAGCTGATACCAGGAGGTAGAGAACCCAATAGAGCCTTTGGTAATCCTATTAAGGCTGCAGAGATAAAACATAAAATCTGTGGCTGCTAATGCAGCCAGGACTTGAGGAAACAAATAAGAGAGTAAAATACAATTTTCATTCTGGATTTAAAAAAAAAAAACCAACACACAAATAAAAAGCTATCTGGAATTTACTTAAACTAATTTAATACAGATTCTGAGGTGAAGTCTTAGGGAACTTTTATAAGCGACAACTTCTTTTCTACTCTATGTGGAGAATTCAGGTAAAGAAACAAAGGTCATGTCCTGGTGAGAAGGGGAATAAGCTGGGCATCCAGCAAATTCTTCAGCTGTGCAGGACAACAGAACAAGAAGCGTTGAAGAAAGCCCCTGAAAGAAAGGACAGAAGTTTTGGCAGTGTCAGGATATAGAAGAGAAGAGACAAAAAGTGGTGTTCAAGAGCCACTAAGGAAGGACTCTGGATAACAAACGCCTTCCACTGAGATCCCTGGGAGGCTACACTCTAAGAGCAGACACAGACCAGAGGATAGGGAAGACGACAGACTTAACACAGCCTTGAGGCAGCTGCCACTCTGGGCCTGTCAGGATAAGATGAAACCTCTCTGGAGAATGAGATAATCCAGACCTTCCAAAACTTTTACTATACAATGATAAGCATTCATCTAAAAATCACCAGACTCAACAACAGGACCGAATGAAAAAAGACAGCGGAGGCTGACTCACAAATCACGAGCTTACGGGTGGTATTATCAGGTCCACCTGAAAATAACTGTGGTTAATACATTCAATAATAAAAAGCAAAATAGAAAACTGCACTGAAGAACTGGAATCTATTTTTTAAAATTAATTGAAATGGAAGGGCGCCTGAGTGGCTCAGTGGGTTAAGCCTCTGCTTTTGCTTTATGATGTCAGTGTCCTGGGATCAAGCCCCACATAGGGCTATCTGCTCAGCAGGGAGCCTGCTTCCCCCCACCCCACTACCTGCCTCTCTGCCTACTTGTGATCTGTCAAATGAATAAATAAAATATTTTTTAAAAATTAAAAAAATGAAATAGAAATTCTACAACTGAAAAAAATGTACTAACTGAGACTCAGAACTCAGTAGCAGCAAACCGGACAAACTAGGAAAGAGAGTTGGTGTATCAGAAGACAGGTCACCAGAAAATGTCCTGCCTGAACTTTGAAGAGCAGAAAGAATGAAAAGCACAGAAAAGACTATTTAAAAACCCCCAAACAACATACAAGTCATTGTGAATAGCCCTAATATTTATACATGTAATTAGAATCCTATAGAGGGAAGGAGAGAGAATTTGGCAGAAGTAATATTTGATGATAATGGTGACAGCGTGTGTCTACATAGTAATGTGTATGAAAAATTTTCCTTATTGACTAAATTTTTTACATTGAAAACATCGTTTTAAAACGATCTATTACCAGCACGTCATACTTCAGTAAAAAGAAAAAAAGAATGAGTACTAATTGTGCACATTTCTCTGCTGTGATTGCTACTATTCCAACTTCTTTCAGTTATTTGAACACTGCAGAAGAAATAAACCATGTTTAGGATTATTAAGAATTTTATCATCAATTATTAAGGGTGACTAGTGTTTGGAGGAAAAAGATCTCCTTAAAATGCTGCCCTCTGAAGTATTTATCTTCCACATCTCTTCAGATTTTTATTACAAAATATTTTGCTTGCATTTATTCATGATATTTTAGAGATAGCTAGTGATATCTAGCCTATTGCTTTTTAGAACATCTATTTAGATTAAAGGAAAAATATTTGAAGAAGATAAAGACAGAGAAGGGTTAAGGTATTTCTAGAATAATCTGTGTTCCTTTACACTGACCATTGATATAGAATCTTATTTTCATCTTTTAAGTCATAACTGAGTAAATAAACATTTTCTATGTATGTATGTGATATATAAAAGTTACTTTTTTTAAAAGAAGAATATCAGTTTTGAAAGAGAAAATTGCATTTCTAATAAATAATTAGTAAGCCAGGTGGGTGAAGTGGTAGAAAGAGTCCCATTAAAATCAGTATTTAAATTTGGTCTAAGGGAGGAATTTTAATCCACATCAGCCAAAAGAAACAAACATATTAAAAAGAACCCAAACAGCTTTTGCCATTTTGGTAGAAAACATATTACAATATTTCGTTAAAGTTTAACTATCCCAAGTTTATACAGTGACTTTTAAGTAAAAGTGAACAGCTATTTTTGCTTTGGTTGGCAAGGCATAATATTTCTTTCCCATTTCATTTTCTTCTGAAATACTCCTTAAGAGACCTTTCTTGTTCTTTTCTCATTTCATGTAATTGTTTTCCTTTAAAGTTATTCTGACCTTACTTTGTCCTCTATAGTCTACAGTTTTCAAATACAAAGTGTTATTTCCTCCCTTTTGAGGTACTAAGATGTAGGCAAAACTTTTATGCCTCTCCTAGTCATGTAGCGCCACCTTCTGGTTATCCCTTGGCATAGCACGAGGCTTGAGTTTGTTGAGTTGTACTTGTCAGAATAGGTTATTTCATGACTTTACTTTTTCTCTAGAGGTCTTTAAGATATAAAAGATAATGTCTACTTAATTTTTAAAGAATAGGATAACATAGGATATCCAATTACCAAATGGATCCATTGGACTCTTTTACAAGTGTAAGATATGTTAAAGGATCTTAGCAATTAATTTTTCTCACATCTTAAAATGTTTGCTATTTCATCACCCCAGGAATTATTACGTTATCCATAAATTATTCAAGCTAGACAAGACTAAATAAGACAATGGAAGAATGGTGGAGAGATATCATTAAACTAAAATCTAGTGATGCTGGTGAAATTGATCATATTAAGTAAAATCTCAAAACTATGACTTCGCATGTCAATATCCTAGATAAATTTTCTCAAACTTAAGAATTGATGAGTGAATTATATATTTCTAAGAAGCAAAAGGGAAATATGTTACTTATTCAAGAGGGAAGGGTTTCACTGAACACCTGTCTGCAACAAAAACTTGAACTGTTTTGCAAAAAGGATCTGTGACAACTGTATTCTTTCATCTATTAGGATGTTTATATGCCACCATTTACTTGATACAGTTTCTAAGTGGATAATGCTAATATTAAGTGTATACATAAAGGTGACTGGAAGAAAACAGATGGTGTAAACATGAGTAAATTCACTGGATTAGAGAAAAATAGAGAGTCCCCTGTACTCAGACAGTAAATGGCAATAATTGCTTTTGCTGGGATACTGAACATATGTAATAAAAAGAAGATACAACTCATAACAAATAAATTACGCAGGAATAAAACAATGAAAAATGTATATTATGGGGAAACCATAAAATTTTACTTAAGGACATAACGGAGGATATAAATAAGTAAATGTTGGGTAGTAATACTTTATATTGTAGAAATGTCAATCCTCACCAAATTACTTCCTAAATATAGTATAATAACCAAAGAATTTTTCTAATAACTCAAGATACTGATTCTAATATTTATACAGAAGAATACATTACTTTACTGATGCCCATTATTTTTATGATCTCACTTGATCATTTGTGCTGGTGATTAAAATACTTATTCATTTTGTTCTTTTTAAAAATATATGCTTTATCAAAGTACTATAGGTACATAATTTAAAAAAAAAACAGCACAGAGGACATAAGACAACCAACAAACCCCTACCCCACCCTTCTCATCTCTCAGTTCCCCAACCCAGAGACAAAAACTTTTACACCTATTTTTGTTATTCTGGTAGTCACCTCCATGTTTCTTAATAATATGCTTTTATTGCTATTTCTTGACTAAATGACCTGAGGCATTTTCTGTGGACTCCGCACTGACTCTGCCTGTTCCCGCTGTCTCCTCCCCACCCATATGGTTATATTACTATCTTTACGTCTTCTGTTTGCTACATTGGTCACTTTATTTGTCAAAGGATTTTATTTATTTATTTGAGAGAGAGAGAGAGAGAGAACAAGCAGGGGGAGTGAGAGGGAGAGGGAGAAGCAGGCTCCCACCAAACAGGGAGCCCAATGTGGGGCTCAATCTCAGGACTCTGAGACCGTGACCTGAGCCAAAGGAAGACACTTAACCAACTGAGCCACCCAGGTGCCCCTGTTCACTTCATTTTTAAGCAAGCTGTACCCCCAACATGGGGCTTGAATTCACGATCCCTGGATCAAGAGTCACACGCTCTATCAACTAAGTAAGCCAGGCGCCCCTACATTGGTCACTTTAGTAATGTAATACCTACATCTCTGTCTTACTTTCTCAACTATATCCAGAATTTCCATGTTCTATTTTATGAGAACAATAGCATCACTACTATTCCACTTACATTTCTTTCCTTCTCTGCCTTCCAACTTGTAACCCTTACATGGACACTGACAAGATGGGGAACATTTACATTCTGTTCTGAAATTGCAATTAAGTCTTCCTTGCTTTGTCTAAGGTTTGACTCTAGAAACTGAAAACCAGTATTTGCTCTATTATGGGTATTTAAATACTGTTCACTGAGTAGCTAAGTTTTATGCTATGATTAGATTTTCTTGCCTATTTCATTGAAGCTTTAATCTATGTGCCACTGTTCAAATGAATTCTCTTTCTCATCCTCCCAGCAGCTGTTCGAAATCACCTGACATATTAGGTTGCTTCATGTTTGAAGCAGGCTTTCTTGTACAAAATATTTTCTTTTCCCCGAAGTTTCCACTTGTCCTTGTTTCAGAGGATAAAGAAATGTACGCCATCCATGTGTGTCATCATGTTTCCTCCAGCTTCTTATCCAATCCATATATTAAAATTCATTTCATTTGGCTATTCTCACTTGGAGGGTTTGTCTCCCAGTTGTTCTATTCTTGTACAATGTATTATTCTGTACATTTTTAGTTGCATTTCTCTTTTTAAAATTTGCATTTTGAACTCTTTCTCTTTGGCAAAGTGTGGGCTTTTTTTGTTTTACGGATACAATAGCTTCTCGGATATTTCTGAGAACTTTAACATTTTTAGGTTCTTTTCTATGCCTTAAATTATTTTCTCAGGAGTCAGTTCTTCATGTGCTCTCAGGTACTTCTTGGTCATATTGCAGGCTTTTGATAAATGGTGATTTTCAGCCAGAGGTGCACAAGCAGGCCTGGGAGCTTTGCTCAGAGTGGGTGACCACTGGGGAGGAATCAAGCATGCTGCAGGCCCCCCGAGGACATGAGGTCAGCAGTGGCTCTACAGGCAGAAGTTGAGCATCAGAGCACAGTAAGTTCACGGTCAGCCAGTAGGCCTAAGTGGAAGAAGGTAGGCAGTGTGCACTTGAGCCCTATACACAAGAGTACATCTTCCCTGACCAGTCCTTTTAGAATGGCTGGTCTAAACTGAGTCTTGCTTCCAATGTCCTATGTATTTTCTTCATACCAGGAATTGATAATATATTTCTTATTCATTTATTTTATTATGCTCTGACTGTACCACACTACAGATAAACAGATGCATAAGACATGTATATGAGATAAGATGGGGTAAGTTCCAATGAGTAAAGACTTGGTTTATAGTCTTTATAAGTACATAATAATCTTACAATTAGGGACACTCTCCAAAGGTAATTCTACCTTTGATATATATTATATAATATTTAGGGTAATTAATTTCATATGATAATAAGTTGCAAAGCCCTAATTTTGCTTTTTTTTTAAATTTTTTAAAAGATTTTATTTATTTATTTGACAGACAGAGATAACAAGCAGGCAGAGACAGGCAGAGAGAGAGAGAGGGAAGCAGACTCCCTGCTGAGCAGAGAGCCCGATGTGGGGCTCGATCCCAAGACCATGAGATCATGACCTGAGCTGAAGGCAGAGGCTTACTTAACCCACTGAGCCACCCATATGGCCCTTGTTTGTTTTTTTTTTATCTTCTATTCACACAAATACACACACACAAAGTCAAGGAGGTAATCACATTATTCAGAGAGTAGGGCAATACTTAAGCCTTTCTAGTTTATGAATACCACACTAGCACTACAGAAGTTGTCAAAAATAACCAATGAAGTCATTCAAATGCATTCCTAACACCCACATTTCAAGGAGTTTCTGTGTATTTTGGTCAAGACCAAATCCTTCATAATTAAATGCAAATCCTTGCTAGTTGAAAATGACCCTTGAGGAGGAGGAACAAAGAACGCTGAATAAAGCACCCCACTTCACCTCAGAAGTGCGGAGCCAGGGCTGTGACTCATATCTCCCCTCTACTAATCTAAGGAAGAGAGATATAGGACAGCAAAACCCTGCTGCCCACCACAGGCTGCTCTCTTCCTCACCCATCCAGTAGTTATCAAGGTCTCCCAGAATTGTGTCATGGGCTTTTTCTTGTCACTTTCTAAGTTCTCCTAGGGCCTCCTACATGTGCAACAGTTAACACCACCATGCTGATATCTCCAATCTACGCAAACAACTTTCATCTCTATGTAGAGATCCAAGTCCCTAACTTCTTACATAAATTTTATTTCTAACTAATTTCCAATTAGTTCTAACTAATTAATTGATATCTTTGATGTAGGCTAAACTCAGAAGCATTCATCCTTGCCCATAAAACCATCTCATCTTTCTTTCTACAAGCCATAATGGTAACACCATCTCCCAATCAACCAAACCAAGACTCCCCACACCTTCCCAGGCAGGCCCTGTTCAATGATCTTAATGTCTCCCACATCTCTCCGGGCTCCTTTATCTCCTTTGTTAGCCATTCAAAAGCATCGGGCAACTGGCCCATTATTTACAAAAATAATAGAAGAGGCTTTTGTTTTGGAGTCTGCACTAATATAAACAAAAAAGACAAAGTTTCTAAGTATTCTATCCTGTCAGTAGTACTCAAACTCATTAAAAAATTCCTTCTACAAGTTAATAAAAAATATGAGACTTACTTAAATGGTGTGAAAAAAACCGGCAAAATAGCTTCTTTTTTCTGGGTCATTTTCACCTGGGAACCAGATAGAAAAATATTTTAATATATTATAAATGAGAAAAAAATTAGTTTCATTTTAAAATACAAACATCATTAAAATGTCTCATTGGGGATACTTATTACTTTGAAACTAAATGAAATTTTATGTTACTACATTACTCCATAAATATTTAAACAGAAATTTCAATTATCATACTATCACAATAACCTGAGACTTAATCATACCAAGCTTCTTGCAAAATAACATATTGTAATGTAATTAATACTTCTTTTACTCTTAGAAAACAAAACAAGCTGCATTAACAGTATTAAGGATAACAAATTTTCCTTTAAATTGTCACTTCTTCACTTAGCTTAATGTATATGGTAATGTACATGAAATGATGACAAATGTTGCAATCTCTACTACTACTTCTGTGGGGCAAATTCCAATCAACAGAGTTAGAGCGCAGTCTTTATAAGCATATGTGATAGTCTTACAATTAGAGATATTTATCAAAGGTAATTTTACACCTCAAACTCATTCATGGAATGTGTACCTCACAAATGTTAAAATTTATGACACTAGTCAAATACACAAAATTTAAAGATAATAAACTACAGAAAATAATTTCTTAAAACACAGAATCAAATATTTTCACTTAATATATTTGGTTTTAAAGTTGTAGTAGTATCCATCATCGTGTGTGTCTTATTTTACCTTGAATTGTTCAAGAATCTGCATTGCGTTTGTAAACATGCTCTCTGCCCTGAAGAGATCAGTGTTGTTAAGATAATCTATAGGAAGGATACCCTGTAAACAATAAACACTGGTTTAATATTAGTATTAATATTATTAGCATACTATTATTAGTATTAATAGCTCAAGCTATTCTTATAAAACAAAATAGACTTATAAAGAAGCACTAAAGACAAGACAGGTAGATGAATAACTTACTGAAATAATTAAGCAAAATATCTTTTTAAAAATCGTAATTGAAAAATGTTCTATTATTTTTTCTACAAAGTAGATATAATAAGTTGTATAAAGCAAAGAGATGAAACAGGTTCAATAAAACCCAATATCTATCGAAAGACTACTGTGTGCTAGGAAGTGAATGAAATGCTTTGCACACATGAAAAATCACTATGGTGGGCCACAACCAGTATACTTAAGGGGGGAAAAAAAGGCCTAATAAGAAAATTGAGAGTATACCATGCACAGTAAGAGTAAAGACTGTTCTGTGAAACTTTTTTTTCAGTTATACACATACAGTCATAAGTATGACTATAAGGATCATTTTCTCAGAGTTTTGAGTTAGATGACATTTTTTTTTTAAGATTTTATGTATTCACTTGACAGAGATCAAAATAGGCAGAGAGAAAGAAGCAGGCTCCCCGCCGAGCAGAGAGCCTGACACAGGGCTCGATCCCAGGACCCCGGGACCACGACCCGAGCCGAAGGCAGAGGCCCCATCCCACTGAGCCATCCAGGCACCCCAACATAATATTTTTTAAAGTTTCATTTGAAGAGCTAATAAGAATGGCTGGTTGGAATATATATTTTGGCTTGTCAGCATCCAGTTCCCATTCTTTACAGCATTACCATTCTATGTTTAGAAATCTTCCCCACTGTGGAATTTAAGAAACAAAACAGATGAAAACAAGGGAAGGGAAGGAAAACCAAAGTAAGATTAAAAACAGAGAGAGAGAGACAAACCATAAGAGACTCAACTATAGAGAACAAACTGAGGGCTTTGAAGGGGCATTGGAGGGGATGGTTTAAATGGGTGATGGGCATTAAGGAGGGCACTTGTGATGAGCACTAGGTGTTACATGTAAGTGATGAATCACTAAATTCTACTCCTGAATCTAATACTATACCATATGTTAACTAACTTGAATTTAAATAAAATTCTTGGAAGGAAAAAAAAAATTCGCCCCCACTGGATATAATATATTAGGTTTCTGATGGAGTCCCACCTTCCTTTACTGAAGGGTAGACAAATAAGGCCAGCCCACTCAAATGGTAAGCACTGGAATTTGACTCTTGGGAGTCAAGGAACAAAAGGTACAATAGGTGTAAAACTCTCCTCCCCTAGTGATGGTGCCCTGGCTGCAACTGTTTGGTTCTTTCTTCCAAGTCTCTGGTGTTCTCTTAGTTCCTGTTCATTTCTAAACCTGGTTTTTGAGCGCCCCTTTGATTCAACAACCCATCAATATCTTTTTAATAAATCCCCTTTAAATGGATTAAGTTTCTGCTGCTTGTAATAAAAATTATTCATATATTTTTACCAATTATAACTGAAATTTAAAGATAAATTTGTACACATTTTAGAAAAGAAAAAAAAATTTTTTAAAGATTTTATTTATTTATTTGACAGACAGAGATCACAAGTAGGCAGAGAGGCAGGCAGAGAGAGAGAGGAGAAAGCAGGCTCCCCGAAGAGCAGAGATCCCAATGTGGGGCTCGATCCCAGGACCCTTGGATCATGACCTGAGCCGAAGGCAGAGGCTTTAACCCACTGAGCCACCCAGGTGCCCCAGAAAATAAAAAAAACTTTAAAGAAAAACTATTACACCAGTGCTCCATGTTGTAGGTTATATAATACACACACTTATGAAGTATTATTATATACTTAGAGAGGGAAATACAGTTTTAAATGTAACCAAAGATTATTCAGAAAGACATAAAAAAGTAAATTTTACTGTACACTTTTTTTTTTCTGAGAGTTGATAAAAAAATTTTACTCCTTACCACTGAATTAAGGGGAAAGGGAACTCCAATAAGAGAAGCCATCAGTGGTGCAACATCAGCCTACAAACAGAAAAAGTTTAATTCTAAGTTTACAGACACTAATAAGAAAATTAAATAATTTAATGCACTGTATTTTGGACTATAATCATGATGTTCATTATAATCTATTACCTTCAAACATTTAACATATAATAGATATCAACTCTAAAAATATTTGTTACAGCTGTATCAACGTATAAAAAAATAAATTTGAGAGAGCCCCAAATGTAAAACATGCTAAAACAAAAAGTTACCTACCCTGATAGAACTTGACTAGTTTATATAGTAGTTGTTCAGTATCATGCAGAGGACGCCTTAACTAGATAAAAAGTAAATCGCAATAGTACGCGCCGACTCCAGAAAAGTACAGATCAACTAAAGAGAAAGTGTACACCAGGAGGTTCGGCCAGCCACTGAAGTCCAGAAATGATATAACCCCAGCTTCCTGGAGAGTTGTTTGTGCCCTTACCTCCACTTCCCCGACTCCCCATCTCGCCTCAGCCCACTCCAACTTCCTTTATGACCCTTCACCCATCCCAAAGACCACTCCTTAGAGAACTAACATCCTCTGTTTTTCTAAATCTGATTGACTGTTTTTATATTAGTCCTTATAATTTTTCAGGCAGTAAAGTGCTTAGATATCAGAATACCCAGTTCCAAATCCTTGCCTGCAATCTCTGAGACCTTGGGCAGGTTAACTTATCATTTATTTACTTATTTCCTTATCGTTTATTTATTTAAAAAAACTGTCCCTTACAGAGTTATGGCATAATTAAATGAGATTAAATTTATAAAGTACCTGGCACATAATAATCATGCAATAAATGGTAGCTACAAATGCTGTTGTGGTTATTTTAATTACTTGGCCTCTCAGAAGCACTGTGTAGACCATTCCCTTCTCGGCTTCTGTAACACCACACTCCACTGAGTGTCTTCAATTTCACTGTGGCTCTTTTCCAGATACCATCTCTAGTTCCCCATTTAAAGTTGGAGTTTGGTCCCAGGCTCTCAATGCTTCTCACTCTTTACCATCTGGGCTCTCTTTATGAAGTACCAACACAGAAAATTGGAAAACTCCAATGGCCTCTAATCACCTTTTCCCTTTCCCCCAGAGTCCACTGTTGGCCTCTTCTAATCTCTTCTCCATGCTGCAGCCTGAGAAATCCTTTCCCAAAAAGATAGATTATATCACTCCCTAAGCTTCAAATACTTCAATGTCTTCCCCAAGCTTTAGGATTAAGTCCATAGGCCCATAAGACCCTGCGGGATCTAACGCCTACCCAGACATCATACCACAGTCCCGGTTGTTCTATACTGTGATCCTTTAATGTGCCATGTATCCTCTTACCAGAGCTCTGTGTACATGATGCTGCCTCTGCCTGGAAAGGGAGAGGGAGTATCACATGCCTGATAACTCCTACTTATTCTTCGGTCTCAGCTCAATCCTCAATGTCTCAAGAAGGCTTTGTTGACCGTACCGCCTACCAGATACATCCACTCTACACTCTTCCTGGCTTCACAGTCCTCTTTTGTAATACTTCGCATAGCTGTAACTTCACATTTATTTGTATAATAATTTGGTTACTCTCTGTTCTCACCCCAAACTCTAAGCTTCCCAGGGCAGGCATTTTGTCTGCTTTTATTCATCATTATATCCCTTATACATGTTTAATGCTAATGTCTACACAATGTTTAAACACACTATAGACACATATCAATGTTGGTGGAAGGAATGAATAAAGAAATTCTCACCTAATGTAGATTTGAAGTAGGAGCATTCAGAGAGCAATAGCTGAATCTACATTTAGTTTTAAATTATAATCCAGTCTGGCTATAAGTAAAACATGGTTTATGATCTTCAAGATATTCCCTATTCCTCTGATGGTGATTTTTACTGCAAAATTAAGTTGCTATTCTAGTTTTATATATTTCCATTTATTTGGGTGATATGCAGCCATCCTGACAGAAAAGACCATTCTTAATATGCTGATAGAGAACAGGCTTCTGCAATCATAGGCCTGAAAATGAGATGCTGAACTTTGGTTTATCCACTATAATAAGAAATGCTGGCTTTTGAAGTGACCTGGAGAAGGTAAAATATTCCCACCATCTTGGAGGCCATGTACCAATAATGCCATGCCTTCTACAAATAGCGAAAATGGTTGTTTACAGAGCATATCTTCAACAATGAAAATTCCATGCTTCATATTTATACACAATGTTACTGGTCTAACTTGATTAGGTTGGCCATGTATTTTCCTGCAATCTAAGGTTTCTAGCTAAGTTATCTATATTTTGTCATCTTTTTTCCATTGCATTTGTAAGCATCCTGGGTAGAATTAAAATATGTGTTAATAAAAAAAGAAATGGTAACTCACATACTAGAAGGAAAAAACCCATAATAGGGTTTTATTATTTATTAGCTCTATGCTTAAAGCAACTAAGCAAGGCAACCGTCACAAGAAATCATAGAAATTGAACAGGCATGCAGATTTCAATTTACATAATAATTCTTTAATTAGCCAACGTTATTTGGAGGGAGCCTTCTTTCAGTTTTACTTGAAGCTTTTTTATTTTGCCAGAAGAAAGATTAGTTGAGTTAAAATATTTGCACTAGAAGGATTTCCCTTGGTAATTGAAATGTTTGGAAAAATCCTTTATAATCATCATTATTAATACTGTTTTTCAGATTTATTTTTCTTTTTTGGTCTAAACTTCCTATAGGAGATAAAATTAAACTTGAAAATGATTAAATTGAACTGAATACCTGATGGATATCTTGCCTTTTCCAGTTCTCTAATTTCCATTCTGAAACACAATTAGACACAAGAGCTAGTGTTAAGACTTAAAAAAAAAAAATAGTTTCATTATTAAGAGAGATCAAGGCATAATGTCAAACTAAAGTATTGGGAAAATCTATTTTAAGCCAACTATGAATAAAAAGGGCACTTAAACAGGCAGAGCTGTATATTTTTAAAACTAGAATTTTAAAAGAATAGCTTTAAAATAAATATTTGGATGTTTTCTGTGATGATTTATTAAACTTTCAAAATGCTCATTTGCAGACAATTGTTCCAAAAAATCAAAAGGCCAAGGAAGGGAAGATGGAAGTAAAACGCACAATGATAACAGCTGTCAGCGTGACTACAACTAACGACAGTCCTGCTCCAGGGAGTAATTAACACGATTGATAGTCTGTTAGTCAACCCAAGCCTTGAGTTTTTCTCAAATGGCAGTTGCTTGCAAATACTATCGTATTTTAACATTTGGATTAGTGACAGTAGGAACATCACAGCTATTCCTACTGTCACTAATCCAAATGTTAAAATACGATAGTGAGTTATTATTAAAATCACCTTCAGAGATATCTCATTCCCCTATTTCCTACATATAAATTCAGAAATTTCATTAGTCATCAAAACAAATGATGAGAGACCATGTCTTGATTTAATAATTTTAAGGTATATTACCAAAAGTGTTCTAAAATATTTTTTATATAACTTGAAAAGTAATCTTTTAAAGTTAAACTTTGGTTTTATTTTAAATTGTTATATTTATAAAAACAATAAAGATAAATGTTTATACCTTTCAAAAATGCATCATCAAATTTCTGCACTGATACTTTTTGGGGATACTTGATTCCAGCTCCCCAAGTGACAAACGGAGTTAAAGTCTCTGAAGGATGACCAGCGCCATGGAAACCTACAAATAAGACTCCAAGAGTAAGAAGACAAGCAAGAACTAACTTACAACTAAATATTTTTTTAAATACTTAATTTTAAAGAGTTGATCCAAATGAGATTCTACTTCTAGACACTACACTCCCAAATGCTTACAACTCTTCATTAGTTAGTCTTAAAATATTCCCAAAGCAAGTCAGAGCATCCACAACGAACAGGCAAAAAAACCAAAAACAAAAACAAAAAGAGTATCTGTTGATTGGTTGAAAGCAGAAGAAGAATATTCACAATAAGACTTGGAGGAGATGCCACTAGAGCAGCTCTGTGTAGGGCGAGCAGTCAGTCAAGGCCAGATCTGTTCTGGAGAGGACGGCAAAACCTCTTTGATGAGATTATTCCAGGCCAGTCTGGTTGGTGTAGCCAAAGGGCCTTTATAGAGTGGTACCAGCTTGCTAGAATCCTGTACCGTGATTTGGGGACCCACACCTCATCTTTGCCTTATTGCGTTCTCTGTGCACACACTGTGTTTGCCTTGGGAATCTCACAGGGACGACAAGCTCATCTATGGGAGACTTTCAGTAGCCCTAGGGTCCCTGGTGATACCACTTTAACCTCACCCTGTTTGCTGTCACTTACAGTTAACTCTAGTAAGATAAATAATAGGATAGATACTTTTTGTTTTCTTTTCCACACTGTCCTCTAATTTCTCATTTAAATGAGAATATATTCCTTTTGTAGCTAGAAGAAAGATTCCTTACATAAGACCAGTTTTTTTTTACATTAATACATTAAGCAGACAATTGTGTGCTAGACACTTTGCATATACAAGACATCTAATCCTTTTCAACATTACAAGATACCTGCAAGCTATATTTACCACTACTTTAATCATAAAGTACATGTTGTTTAAAGACAGACTAACCCCAGTCTGTCATCCCATGGTCAGAGGTAAAGATAAATGCCGTTTTCCCATCATTTCCATAAAAATGTTCAAGCATGGACACAATTTCTTTTATTCCGTCATCAACTACTTTAATGTTGTCCTTATATTCCCTGTTTAAAAAGAAAAAGAAGAACAAATTAAATTACAATAATTTGGAAAACTCAAATTTCATCAACATCAACTAATTACACCTAAAGTTGGTAACTCCTAAGATATTTAATTTTTTTTAATTTTTTATTTAAATTCATCAATTAGTCAACATAGAGTACATCACTCCCAAAACACTTTTTTAAGACTTTAGTCATTTATTTGTAAGAGAATGAGAGAGAGAGAGCACACACACAAGCAGGAGGAGCAGCAGACAGAGGGAGAAGTAGACTCCTGCCTGAGCAGGGAGCCCAATGTGGGACTCGATCCCAGGATCCTGGGATCATGACCTGAGCTGAAGGCAGACATTTAACTGACTGAGCCACTGGGAATCCCTCCTAAAATACTCTTAGACTTCATCATTAGTAGTTTAAAATCAGAGCTCTTGAGATTGTTAAAAATAATATTCTCTCTCTTTTTTTTTTTTAAGATTTTATTTATTTGACAGAGAACACAAGGCGGCAGAGAGGCAGACAGAGAGAGAGGAGGAAGCAGACTCCCTGCCAAGCAGAGCGCCCGATGCAGGACTCAATCCCAGGACTCTGAGATCATGACCTGAGCTGAAGGCAGAGGCTTAACGCACTGAGCCACCCAGGTGCCCCTATTCTCTCCTTTTAAAGAAGCAAAAGAATATGAAATAGTCTTCAGAAATAGTTTAAAAGAATACCCCCCTATCCTAGCAAATATATCTTAATGAATGCTTCTTACATCTCAAATGTATCATGACTTACAAGTTCATGTCTCTTATAATGCAATCTATATTGTTCTTGTTGTATTAATAGGTATCACTGTTACAAGTATAAAATGTTTCCATCCCTTAGAGTGTTTGTGACACAAGATGTTAACAGAACATGCTAAATAAATTATATTTAAGCACTCCATTCAGTTAACAGGTTGCTTTGGTATGAGCTCTATTCACAACAGTCCATCATGTTCAAGAAGGGGAGCATGAGGCATTCATTCCTGGCAGCTAATCAATAGGCTTTAGAGTTACAGTTAGATTTACCTAAACCAAATTCTAAGTAGAGAATAGAAGTAGAACATGGATTCTTCCTCTTATGGTCTACAAAACTGAGAAAAATATTTGTGTTCTATACCAGAGTGCTACTGAAATATAGTACACAAAACTTTATATATTTGCTAGATACAATACTGATTAAATGGAACACACAAAGAATAGCTAATTACATCTTTTCGGGATATAAATATTAACACCATATAAATGCTTTCCCCCCCTCAAGTTTTCCTGAAATATTTCTAAAACATATAGTTCTTCTCCTGTCTTGATAAATCAAGAATATGGAATATAAGTAACGTGGTAACTACAAAATATTATAATACTTTTTCTAAAAAAGATTTTAATTATTTATTTGACAGAGAGAGAGAGAGAGAGAGAGAGCACATGCAGGGGGAGCAGCAGGCAGAGGAAGAGGAAGAAGAAGTAGGCTCCCCACTGAGCAGGGAGCTCGATGTGGGGCTGATCCCAGAACCCTGGGATCATGACCTGAGCCGAAGGCAGATTCCTAACCAACTGAGCCACCTAGGTGCACCCCCAAATTATAATACTTTAAAAGTTTAAACAGAATAGCTAAGTCCCTCAAAAACACAAAATTAAACACAGCATTAAAATTACCTCGATGTTGGCCGATGAGCATGTCCATTTGTATCTATTCCTAACAAATGTAAGAAAAAGACTATTTTTTCTTCATTTACTTTAGAAAACAAAGATTGGTTGTTTCTGGCAGCATGAAAGAATTCCTATATGTAACAAATCAGTTAAAGAAATTTAGTTCATTTGTTTTAAAAAATAATTCTGATAAAAACATTTAATTACATTTATATGTAACAATAAAATTAAACTATCTTATTTTGTTTAAATTTGTCCTCAGGACCTACCAATACAAAGTTCTCATTGTCGGTTCAGACAGCAACATCCGAATAATGAGTGAGCTATTTTCTGGGCTAGACGTGGGCCAAGGAAAGGTTATAGAAGGGGGATCTTGATTTCATGAAGATTTCATCAGCACCAAATAAAATACAGCAGGTTGAAGAAATATTTTGACAAGAGCCAAGCAAAACAGTACTAGAGACAATATTTTAGGAACATTTTATCATTTTTAAATGTTTTCAGAGCTGGACTACTTCTTGCTGTCCTGTCTAGACTACCACCCTAGTCCAATGAGTCCAACCATAACTGCTCACTCAGGACACTGAATAGCTTCTGAACACTCTCCTCCGCCCAAGACTAGAATCTGTTCTTCACACTGTATGACAGAAAAATGCCCTAACTTAATAAAATATGGGTCAAAAATTACTATATTAATTTCATAATGACAAACTGGATTCAAAACATCCTAAGACAAAGGATTAAATTGCTACTTACATACACATGAACATGTAAACAAGTACCTGTGGGGAATACTTTCAAATTATTTTAGATAAGTCAACAGGCTAGGCCAAGATACATAATTATTGTTCATATAAATGTCTCTAACCATATAGTAGATGGTAACTTTAACAAGAGCTATTTAATTGTCCAATACAAGTCTGAAGTACTTCTTGAAATAATTCTTCATTATTACAAATATTAAAAAAAAATTGGTGCCATTAGAGAAGCCTGCTATTCAAAAATAGAAGTAAATTAAAAAACACAATATGTAACCTGCTACCACCCTCCTTAAAAGCATAAAACCATGCCCTAGTTTTCATATACATTCTACTTAGACCCTAAATTTTTTGTTTTGTTTTAAAGATTTTATTTATTTATCTGTCAGAGAGATTGAGAGAGAGAGAGCGCGCACAGGTAGGCAGAATGGCACGCAGAGGCAGAGGGAGAAGCAGGCTCCCTGCCGAGCAAGGAGCCCTGATGTGGGACTCGATCCCAAGATGCTGGGATCATGATCTGAGCCGAAGGCAGCCGCTTAACTGACTGAGGCACCCAGGTGTCCCCCCTAAGAAGTCTTCAATCAAGATAGAAGTGACAAGTTCTTCAAAAGAAAGGAGTTAAATTCTAATGATATAATTGAAAGCTGACAAAACCCCCCAAAACCTAGCAACTTAAGTTAGAATTTGTTCCACGACTGGTAAAAAAAAAAAAAATATTCCAGGGTGTAAGAAGTGCTGTTCATTCATATATGGACACAAGACTTGGAAACTATGAAATACTAATCTTGTAGAGCTCAACCAGTTAGATTCCTATTGGCTTTTTAAAAGTTAGTCTTTTGGACACAAGAGGTGAAATATACCTGAAGCTACTTTCCCTTCTGTATTTAGTTTGCTAGTGAGCATTAGCCCCCACTTTTTCTCATCACCTTGGAAAGGCACTCATTCATTTCTACACTCAACAAATATTTGTTATGCATCAAGGGAAACTACTAGATGACTATCCCAACCTGTACTCTCTTTTTCTAAGTAAAAACCTGTGATTTCACGAGACGTACCAATGCTCAACCTTAAAACCTACCTATCTCCCATCCTCTCATACAGCTAGATGTGCCTTAGTGGTTGTGGTCAACGAGATATAAATCAAGTATTTCAGTCAAAAGACTATGAAGACCTAAGGCTCTCTGAAATAAATATAACTTAGTAGGAAAGAAGGTCCTTTCTGATTCCTTACACTGTTGTCCTAAAACACTGAAATAATGGCATCTCTTGAAGATAAAATTCAAGCTCAAGGAAAGAGGAGAAATTCAAGAGACCGGGTCTTAATGACACCGCGGAACCATTACAACAGTCATGTACTGCAACAATCTTGGGCTGCCTACTTCTGGCATTATCTTTACTGAGATAAAAGTAAACTTTAAGCCGAATTTTTTTCCTTATTACACAGAACTTAACCTAATCTAAGCTAATACTTTTATCTCTGTACTAGACAATACCTTGACAAGAACTGAGTTAACAGCACACCTGATGGGTTCAGTGGGTTAAGCCTCTGCCTTCGGCTCAGGTCATGATCTCAGGGTCCTAGGATCCAGCCTGGCATCATGGGGCTCTCTGCTCAGCAGGGAGTCTGCTTCTCTGCCTACTTGTGATCTCTGTCAAATAAAAAAAATCTTAGGGGAAAAAAGAAAGAACTGAGTTAACAATGAGGAAAAGTCAGTATCTCTACCAACAAGATGTATATAGAATTGAAGGGGGATATGCCGATGCTGTGGCATAATAAAGTAGTTAAGATAGAGGTGTCAAGGGAATATAGAAGAGGGTTATCTAAGTCTAGCGGGAAGCAAAGTGAAGCAAAGGGAAATCACAGAAGGCTTAATAAAGGAGATGGTTCACAAACAGCGTTTTCTTTATTTTATTTATTTTTAAAGATTTTTCTTTATTTATTTGAGACTGAGTGTGTGAGTGAGAGAGAGAGTACAAGCCACAGGGGAGAGACAGAGGGAGAAGCAGACTCCCTGCAGAGGGGCTCCACCCCAGGACCCCGGGATCACGAACCAAGCCATGGCAGATGCTTACGTGACTGGGTCATGCAGGCGCCCCTGCACAGAGTTTTAACAAGCAAATAGATTCAACACAAATGAAGCTTAAGGACATGACGCTAAGTGAAATAAGCCACTCACAAAGGACAAACACAGCATGGTTCCACTTATATGAGCTATCTAGATACAAAACATAGATATATAGGTACAACTGCAAAGAAACAAAGTAGAATAGTAGTTGCCAGAGGCTGGGGGTAGGGTGGGGAATGGGGGTTTGTTTAATGACTGCAGACTTTCAGTCTTGCAAGATGAAAAAGTTCTGGAGATTGGATGCACAATGATGTGAATATACTTAACACTATTGAACCTGTCTGCTTAAAAATGGCCAAAATGGCAAATTTTATGTGATAGGTATTTTATTTACCACATTAAAAAAAAAAGTGAGTGGACATTTACATGGATTTGTTTTGCTTGGATTAAGCATGAGTCTCTGGCCCAGGCACAAGTCCAAGTAAGACCCCTGACTCCCTGTCTAGCCTCCCCTCAGATCTTGCTCCCAGTGATACGCCTGCCAACTTAACTTCCTTCAGTTCCTCAAATCTATTATGCTGGCTCGTCCTGCAGTGCCCAAGATTTACATATATTGCTGTTCACTTGAAATATTCTTTTTTCATGGGCAATCCAGGTCCATCCAACTTTTGTCTCCTAGACTTCTGAGATCACCTCAAAACTCTCAGAAAAGCCTTCTCCTAACTGTCTAGAAAACAATTTTCTAAAGGTATATTTTTAGTCCCTGTATTTTTCCTTCATACCATTTCTCACTGCTGATGATTTCGTGTTACTGTTATTACTATACATATAAACCATATTTTATGAAGTCACGGGCAAATCATTTTTTCCGAGGACTAGCAGTATTGAGATAAAGAAAGGAAAGAAGACATAAAATCAGGCCAGCCATAAGCTGTATGTGCCCGTACACAAGGAATCAAACCCTGAATTTGGAGCATTTTTAGCTGTGTACATGAAATTGCAGCCAAATGCCTTTCAGGGATGCTAACATAAGTAGATGATATTAAGAAGCGATAATTAGCAGAGTAAAATTTGTCAATTGTTTTCTTTTAAAAAAAAATATTTTCTTTATTTGACAGAGAGAGAGATCACAAGTAGGCAGAGAGGCAGGCAGAGAGAGAGACAGAGGAAGAAGCAGGCTCCCTGCTGAGCAGAGAGACCGATGCCCGCTGGATCCTAGGACCCTGGGATCATGACCCGAACCAAAGGCAGAGGCTCAACCCACTGAGCCACCCAAGCGCCCCTGTCAATTATTTTCTTAAAGAGATTTTATTTAACTTCAAGTGTTCCCTGTTGACAAAAGTATATGTTAAATGAGAAAAGAAAAATTTCAAGAAGAAAGATCTTGATGAAGGAAATAGGGTTTATCAAAGAATGTGTTGAACACTTAATTCCTACTAAGTAAGTATGAAGAAAAATGCAGACATACACTGAGGAATATATTTACAAACTAACTAACAAAAATGACTATATCATGGAGAAGTCCACAATGTCAGTTCAAAAGACACTACTGGTAAAAAGAAGAACCATTAAGGGGCAATCAATGAATGTTTCTTACAATGAATGTTTCTTTCTTTACATATTACAACTTGTAAGTTGTAATATGTAAATGAGAAACAATGGACAGGAAGAAAGGAAGCCATTATCCACAAGTGAGATTTTCAAACAATTTTTCAAAATGTAAATTCTGTTGGATTCCTGGTGAAAATTGTGATAATTGTTACTATCAAATAGTCCAAACAACTTTATTTCTTAGAGAAACTCGGATATTTTGTGATGACGAATTTGCTAATTTGTTTTTATCTTTCTCTAAAGTACAATTTTTTAAAAATCCTGTTTTCAATGCATTACATTTGAATAGCATTTTCAAAAGCAGTTTTCATACATCTTACATGATCTTACCACTATAAGAGACTATTGTATGGTCAAAGAATAATCAAGGTTTACCTAGGATTATTCACCAAATAGGAATGAAATACAAGTTCCCTGAATTCCAATCTATGGAGCCCATTGAATTGTCAGAAACATGGAATTTAAAAAAGTTATATTTTTCAAATTATTTTTTAAAAACTTCCATTAACTGTTTATTGTAGAATGTGTAATTTCTGAGAATCTAATCTTTTTAAAATAGTATGCTACAAATATAGAACTTTCATATTTAAGCAAGTAGGAAAAAATTAAGATGTATTTACAACAAATCAGTGTCTAGTATTTTGGGTACAAATACATGTGCTGGAGATGATCAACTCAATAGTGCTCACCTTCACATGATCAAAAACCCAAGTATCTAGTTTTGTTACATCATGGGCACCAAAATCCTCACTCTCAGCATCATAGCTATATGTATAAATATGGTCTCCACCAACACCTGAAAAGGAAATTTGCGGAAAAATTTTTTTAACAATTATAACAAAATTATAATGGGGAAGAGAAAGGAGGAATAATGAACATTTTATTTCATGTGCCATGGACCATCACTTAGACTTTTTTTTTTTTTTTAAGATTCTATTTATTTATTTGACAGAGAGAGATCACAAGTAGGCAGAGAGGCAGGCGGGGGTGGGGGGGTGGAGAGCAGTCTCCCCGCTGAGCAGAGAGCCCAATGTGGGGCTCAATTCCAGGACCCTGAGATCATGACCTGAGCTGAAGGCAGAGGCTTAACCCACTGAGCCACCCAGGCGCCCCCATGACTTGTACTTTAACATGCTGTTGTTTTTTGTTCTCACAGTAACATTCTTAATTTTAAAGATACACTACATATAAGTTAATTAATTTACCCAAAGTCACAGTGCTAATACACAACACCACAAAAATAAACACCAAAGTCTGTCTCCCTGTACAGATTAAATTCTTCACAAATTTATCTGTCTTGGAACACTATAACCTAAAATAGATGAAGTCATTTGGTACTTTGTAAAGCAAGAAGAAAATTCAAAAATTTCCCTTATCTTATTTATAAAATGTGTATTTTTCTCAATATAAGGGAATAAATATTATCCATTGTTAAATTCTTTGAAGGGGTCAACAAATATATTAATCTTACACACTTAGAAGATTTAATTAAGAATCTAATCAACTTAGTGAATTCCTGAGATAGGCTCTTACAGGTCACGAGGAAGAGATATAACAAAGTAATAATGATCTCTTATAATAGCAATAGCAGTTCCAATGACACAACCACCACTCAGTCATTCCACTTTCCACATCCCAAGTATGGATCTGAGTGAGTTTGTTGGTTACCATAAACGGAACATTCCTATGGGATTGTTTCTGATTCAGGTGTTAGTCTTACATCTTATCAGCTACCGCCAGAAGCAAGAAGGTAAGCTTGGTGAATCATAGCAACTTAATCCACCCTCACCACCACCAGTCCCCCCAAAAGCTTTCTTTTCCAAAGAAAGGAGTGTGTGTGTGTGTGTGTGTGTGTGTGTATGATATATAGTTTGAGGTTTTTTGTTTGTTTGTTTTTAAAGATTTTATTTATTTATTTGACAGACAGAGACCACAAGTAGGCAGAGAGGCAGTCAGAGAGAAAGGAGGAAGCAGGCTCCCCGAGGAGCAGAGAGCCCAATGTGGGGCTTGATCTCAGGACCCTGGGATCATGACCTTAGCCAAAGGCAGAGGCTTAACCCACTGAGCCACCCAGGCGCCCCTAGTTTGAGGTTTTTTACCATGACCTATACAATTATGTTCTATGAATATCATATGTAAAATTCTGAATATATATTTTGCTTTCGGGACATACAATAATATTCAATAATGCCTATTATTAAGACCTATGGCTAAGTATAATGTTACAAAACCTTTTTATCAAGTGAAATGACCAGTCATTCTACTCTCACTAAAAAGCATTTAATGACACAAACTTCAAGTGGAATCCAATAATTTCAGAAAAATAGTATTAATGAATTTTGTAATCAGTGCACAGAAACAGAACAAATCCAAACGGCATTATCTCGAATATATGAAAATAGGAATTATAAGTTATAGCATTTAAATCTTTGTGAATATCTACAAACTTCATAAATCATTAAGGTAAAATGAACCAGACATCAAAACCATCATCATAATGAAAAATTACATGATAAGCACATAGCTAAATATTTCACAGGAATTATCTAATTTGCCTAAAAACAAACCTATGAGATAGAAATTATTATTATCATCACATTTTACAAAAGGCAAACTGAAGTTCAGAGAAGTCAGCTAACTTGTTCAGGATTATAAGTGGTTAAATGTGAGAGCCATATACCACTTCATTGAATTCAAGATACCAACAACTATATGATGTGCCAATATCTCAAGTACAACTAAAAGAAAAAATCAAGCGGACATGTCTATCCATTGTAATATATGTTCCTATGTCAGAGATGTTAAATATGTAAAAACAAGTATCTCAAAAATCAATAAAATATAGTAGGCAATACACAAAAATTACCATACTGGTTTATTTCATTACCATTTAAGGAAAATATAATCAATGACTCCTACCTTTGGCAAACATAGTCAAGATATCTGGGCTTCCCCAGCTCCATGTGTACTTGCTTTCATTAATAAGAGAATCAAATCCCACAGGATTTTCCTTCCATCCTTCAGGTCATTGAAAAAAAAAAAAAAAAGCAAATAGTAACAACAGTAACATATATATGGTAAAGTATTAGTATAGCCCCTAAAGAAGTATTCTTCAAATAGTAATAATGAGAATTAATTACAGAACAAATGCAAAACTAGTAACAGATTTTGTTACATGTATTATATCATTTTTTTTTAAAAAGCTTACAATAGATAATTTACTTCTTACTAAACCAAAGAATCGCTTTTGAACTTTTGAGAGTTAACATTGAGGAAAACCATGGATCCATCCAGATTGTTTCAGTAGCACAGAATGATAAAAGACCAAAGCTTAATTCTTGAATCAATACCAGCATGTGTTTATGAGTAAAGCAAGCTAAAATACTTACCAAAAGTATGCCAAAACACACTTCACTTTGTGTCATATTCAGTGTTAAAGAAGCGGTATATATGCAATGTGTTTATCACATAATAAAGTCATCCACATAGATAATACCTTTGGCAACTGCACTGACATCTTCATAAAACCCAGCTATCAGGGCTACGTGACCTGGCCGAGACTCAGTTGGCACGCGTGTATGAGATATGCCCCAGCTGCCTTCATGCATTATGATATTCCTAAAAGATATTATAGATCAATAGCACAGACTTTGATTAAATCCTATTAGAGTGTTAGAAAAACAAGATTATTACAGAAGGAATAAAAAACAAACAGCGAGTCACAATTTAACAAGGTGAGGAATCTTTCTGATCCCAGCTGAGCCCAATCCCAGCCCTCCAACTAGCTGGATTCAGCAGCATAAATGAGCTTAGGCGAGACAAAGAACCATCTGGCCACAACACAGAAATATGAGTCAAAATACACGATTTTTGTATGAAGCCACAAAGTATTCAGATGGTTTGTTACATGAGAAACAACCAACATACACAATATTGTTCTATAAATGTCAAATTTTACCGGGTGTGATGGGGTATTGCAGTCCTGTAGGAGAAAAGTCCTTGTTTTTACGTGATACATGCCTAAGTGTTCAGTGGTCAAGTGTCATGAGATCTTTCCTTCAAATTAGTCAGAAAAAAGAATAATTAAAAATTTAAGCATGTGTGTGTAAGTGTGCATGTGTATTGAGAGAGTGGACGCAAATATGAAAACAATTAAAAATTGTTCAATCTAGGATAAGGTATACAGATTTCATCATATATATAATCCTTTCAATTTCTATGTTGAAAAATTCTCAAAATAAAAAAATTAAAGGTGGGGAAACAGCTAGACTCCTAATTAGGAGTTAAATTATATTCCTAAATTTGAGACTAAAACAGGCAAAAGCATTCTTTTGCTAAAATGTGTCAGTATCCTTTGCAATGAAAGCAAAGGACTGACTAGCAATGCTAAGGCAGTGAGAAAGCAGTAGAGCAACAAGCTATCAAACAATGACTACATCAGTAACAGCTTCCGGGGGTGATGCTTGCCCCCCCAAAGGGTAACTGTGAGTACTGGTTTACATACTCTTTATTACTGACTTACCTCATCCTAAAATCAATTTTGGTAAAATGCATGCATAATAAGTAGAAGTTTGAAAACCAGTGAACCACTTGTTATGGGAGAAATATTTTTTAACTTCTTCAGTTATTTAACAAAAACCGAACTTCAATACGAAGAAGGAGGTATAAAGAAATTCGGATATCTCTGTTTAAAAACGTTTTGATCAGTTCGGATCATATTTTTTAAAAACCGAAGTGAAGAACAAATAAAACCTTTCACAAACAGGTTTAAAAGAAACTAGAAGATTCCTGAAATTGTAAAAACATGATGGCATACAGGACAAGGCACATGAACTACGTAAGCTCTTGGCCTGCTACCCACCAGCCAAAGAAGTAAGTGCTACCAGGAAAGCTCACCTTCTCTCTACTAACCGGTATACTTTGTTCTTAATTTGCAATGAACTATATTTCTCTCCTTTCTGTGACAGCTAAGAAATTCTTCCAAATATATTACCCCGATTTTAAATTATTTGTAGAAATTATGTGACAAATTTTTGTGACCCGAACTTAACTCTGGTTTGCTATTATTTTCCTACTCATATTTTTCCGCTGCCCTGTGTTGGTCACTTAATTACTTTTATCCTTTAATATGGTATGCATTTCTTTGAGCCATTGGAATTCAACAGAATTCCAAGTTCATTCATTCATCTAGCAGTCAACAAATATTTAATTGCCTACTGTGTTCTAAGAACTGGAAATAAAGTAGTATACAAAGCAGAGGCCCAGCTTGCATAGAACCTGCACATGCCAAGTACTATAAAGAAAACAAACACAGTAAAGGATAAAAGTAATGATGGTAGATGAAAACAGGAGAAAATAGAATACTTTAGATAAATTTCCACTTGAATTTGAGTTTTAATCTCTCTATACCAGCATGAAGAAGGGCTTTTGAGGGACTTGTCACTAATCAGAAAAATAGCAATTATTTGTAGGAGCCCCATAAGTTTAAAAAAATTAAACATTTCTTTTCAAAGCCACTTCATAAAATCTGAAATCACAATTAACAGTGACATAAACTTAGAAGGGCTTTATGTATTTTATAAGTCTGTTTTCAGTTGAACTCTATTTTTAAGTTAAATAGCACTACAATTAGCAATTCATTAATATTTATGTTTGTCATTATTTTAAAAATATAACAAGTTTATTTTATAAGAAAAAGATAATATAGTGAGTTGTAAGTCAGGTTTGGGAAATTAGGACAAGTTAAGCCAAGCAGCTAAAGTCATACCTAACTCCTAGGAGGAAATAAATTTATTAATCCATAAGATAAAAGCAGATGCATATGTGCCCTATTCTCTTTCTCATCATCACTTCTGTGTCCAACATGAGATAAAAGTGTCAAGATAACACTTTCCAGAAAGGTCTTTGTATCACTTGACATGCTTACCTAATAAATGGCGCTCTAGGATTTCCATTTTCATCGAATTCATAAAGTGCATCTGCCCGCAGGCCATCAGCAACAAACAGTACTAATCTTTTTGCTGGAGGAGGTAATGGTGTAAACTGAGGAGTCATTCCATGAACCAAAGGAGATGTAAAATAAATATCAAAGATGGAGCCGAAGAACACAAAATGTACAAGCAATCCCAAAATAAAGAAGAGCAGCATATCCAGTGTAACTAATTAATCTTCAAGAAAAACTGAAAGAGGGAACAAAATTAAATTAAATTTGGGTAAACCTTAATGAAATTATATATATATTCACATATTTTGATGACTGCATATACTCTGAACATATATTTTAAAATTTTACCTAATTTACAACTTTACTTTCATTTATGATAGCAACAATAAACATTATTTAATAATGAGGTAATACTGAAATAAAATACATGATAAAATACACTCACATAAAAAGAGAAAGTTCAAGTATAATACCCAATTAATACCACTAAACTATTTATAATAAATTTAAGTGTATACTAAGCTCAGAAAAACTAACATAGGTTCAAAAACAAATATATAAATGAGTCTTAAAATGGGTCTGGGTCCAGTCAAATCAAATCCTATATAAAATAGAAAATATAATTCATGGTGGTCTTGGTTGTCCATATAACCACCATTAATACTCCTGGAATTTAACATTACTTAAAGTCTGAGGATTTTTTTTTTTTTTGGACTTTTGGTTATCAGCTCAGGAGACTTCTAGATAGTCCTGACAGATTATATGCATTTTTATTCATTTAAATAACTTACAGGAAGGAAAAGGTAGTTAAAATCCATGTGTTTCAAAAAATGTACACTCATTAAAGGAAGACTTTTAGTTCCCTGAACCAATGAAAGTGCAAGTTATATTCACAAATTCAATTAAAATGCTCTTGCATATATTCTGTACATAATGTTGTATGAAGTACAAGAGAGAACACCAAGAAGACATAGTCACAGATCTGATAAACTTACACATACTTATAGAAGGAAAACTAAGCAACATGAAACATTTAAATAATACTGTATGACAGTATGCCATTAACTGCCAAGATCAAGTCCATGAGAATGCTTTTCAAGCCAGTCTATAATTTACTTTTGTTGGTGAATCTCCCTGCAGATTAAAAACAACAAAATACTCTCAACTTGTCTTTTTGTAATATAACTAACATTGGTTACACACAGCGACACTTGGCTGAAAAACACCAAAGATGAAGTAATTTTAAATATAGACACATCTTATTCTTCCTGGCCTGAAGAATTACATCATGGGAGGAAAGGGTGGCCAAATAAACAAGCAAACAAACAAACAAAAAAAACAAAACCTTGTCAAAGTTAAGCACATCATAAAAAGAATGTAAAATAAAGTAAATGGCCAAATTATGGGCAACTTTTTTCCTGAGAGATTCAAGAGTCAAATAAGGATCAAAGATATTCCACAAAGTATAAAAGTCCCTTAGTGAGTAGATGCTATTCTGCAACCTAAGGCAAAACTCTCAGAATATTTTGCTTTTTCTAGTATACATGAGCTTCAACTACATAGCAAGCATTATCTTAATAATTGTATTCTGAATATAAAAATAAAACAATCACAGGGTGCCTGGGTGGCAAAGGCTTGGTTTCAGCTCAGGCTGTGATCTCCGGGTTGTGGAATTGAGCCCTGCATTGGGCTCCAAGCTCCGTGCACAGAGGCTGCTCAAGACTCTCTCTCCCTCGCCCTCTGCCCCTACCTCTGTACTCTCTCTCTCTAAAATAAATGAATAAATCTTTAAAAAATAAAAAAAAAAGTTGAAAAGTTAAACAATCACTGTGGTAAGTTTGGAAAATAAAGAAAAATTACTTATGATTTTACCACCTAAAGAAAAATCTGTTACATTCCTTAGTTTTTATCTAATCTACATTTTTATAAAGACTCACAATTTCACGTATTGATTTTTTCTTTATCATACATGAACATTTCTTTGTTTTTTTTAAAAAACTCTTCTCATACATCCATTTACCATCACCATACTCTATCCAATGGGCATGCCTTAATTTTCCTGATCACCTCCACACTGGTAAACACGGAGTTCTTTTCCATTTTTTCATTATTAAAAATGTCAACATGATTAATTTAACTTTTAATGTAATTTTTATGCTAACTTTTAGACATTTCACATTACGTGTTTAATGTGGGGAATCTGGGTGGCTCAGTCATTGAGCGTCTGCCTTCGGTTCAGGTAATGATTTCAGGGTCCCAAGATCAAGCCCCACCATCAGGTTACCTGCTCAGTGGAAGGTCTGCTTCTCCCTCTCCCTCTGCTCCATACTGTGCTCTCTCTCTCAAACAAAATCTTAAAAAAAAAGAAAAAAGAGGGGTGCCTGGGTGGCTCAGTGGGTTAAAGCCTCTGCCTTCGGCTCAGGTCATGATCTCAGGGTCCCGGGATTGAGCCCCACATCAGGCTCTCTGCTCAGCAGAGAGCCTGCTTCCCCCTCTCTCTCTGCCTGCTTCTCTGCCTACTTGTGATCTCTGTCTGTCAAATAAATAAAATCTTAAAAAAAGAAAAAAGAAAAAAGAATTGAGGTAATATGTGTAAAATATGCAAAAGAGTGCCTACTACAGTCAGTACTCATTACCTATTGGCTAATACTATTGTTTCTGATGTACATGAAGTTGGATTGATCATGAGAGAAAAATTTATTTGCCATCCTTGTTGACTTTAAAAATCTAATCTAGGGGCGCCTGGGTGGCTCAGTGGGTTAAAGCCTCTGCCTTCGGCTCAGGTCATGATCCCAGGGTCCTGGGATCGAGCCCCACATCGGGCTCTCTGCTCAGCGGGGAGCCTGCTTCCCCTTCTCTCTCTGCCTGCCTCTCTGCCTACTTGTGGTCTCTGTCTGTCAAATAAATAAATAAAATCTTTAAAAAAAATAAAATAAAAATCTAATCTAATGGATGTAAATCTCAGAGAAACCAAGTCTCAAACTTTGTTTTATACCAAAGCATCAACTTTCGCATAATTGCTCTACTGCTATTTTCCTTAGCTATATGGTTTTTTTTTTTTTTTAATTCTGGTAAGAACACTTAACACGGGAGATCTGCCCTTTATCTATTTTCAAGTGCACAATACAGTACTGATAACTGTAGACTGTATAGCAGATGTCTAGAACTTACTCATCTTGGGTACCTGAGATTTTATAGCTGCTGAACAACTACTCCCATTTCTCCTCCCCCACCAGACCCTGGTGACCAGCATTCTACTTTCTGCTTCTGTGAGTCTGACTCTCTTAGGTATCTCACATAGGGTGAATCATGCAATATTTGTCTTTCTCTGACTGCTTATTTCAGCTAGTATAATGTCCTCCAGGCCAGAAATGTCTGATAGCCCCAGTTGCTCCATATATTTGCCAAGAGTATTTGGTACTGTAGCCCATTTAATTTTGCTTTTTCTGTATGTGGGAACGTACTTGTAACCTACTGTGGTTTTGATTTACATTTCTCTGATAACCAATGATGTCAAACAACTTCTCATGTGTTTAATGGACATGTTTTTTTAATACTCTTTTTTTTCCTCCTTTTTATTTTTCAGTATTTTCCAAAGAGCAGTACTTTTTAATTTTGGTTAAGTTCGATTAATTTTTCTTTTAGTTACCTATTTTGGGTCTTACATAAGGAATTTTTATAAATGATAGCACTTTCTTTAATACAGATTTTTAATACTTGTTATTTGAAAATAATTTCAAGCTGAGAAAAAAGTTGCAAGCATAATGATACAAAAACCCACATATCCTTTAGCCACATACATCTATGCTAACATTTGTTTGCTTTGTCATTTTTCCTCTTGCCCTTCCCCTGCTTTGTCTATCTTACCCCTCATGTCTACCTCACCCCTTTGTCTATCTTACTCACGCATGTGTATAAAATCACGTAATACTGTTTCGGAACCATTTGAAGATAAATTACACACACAGTGGCCCTTAACCCCTAAATATTTCAGTGCTTATTTCCTGAGAACAATGATATTCTCTTACACAGAGACAGCAATTGTCAACTTCAGTATGTTCAATGTCAGTATTTTATCTCATCTACCATATGTACACCACAACTTTTTTGGAATGCCCCAATAATATTCTTTATAGCATATTTAAAGCTCTACTGAGGCATAACTGGTCTATAATAGACTGTACAGATTTAAAATGTACAATAAACACAGTCAAGATAATGAACATACCCATAACCCTCAAAACTCTCATGCTTGTGTAATTCACCCCTACATATTTTTTTAATTTTTTGATATTATTGTAAATGCTATTTTGTATTTCAATTTCCCTTTGTTAGTTCTTAAATCACCGATTTTTATACATTCGCCTGGTATCCTGCAACACTGAAAAACTGTTATATAGTAGCTTTTATGTAGATACCTTTTGATTTTCTACAGAGATAATTATTATCACCTATGAATGAAGGACTTCTTACTTGTCATTTTAAGTGTTTTTTATCTTTGTCTCATGCTTCCTGTACCATCTACGACCTCTAGTATGATGTTGAACAGAAGTGGTAACAACAGAAATCCTTGCCTTCCAACTCTAGGGTGAAATTTGTCAGTCTTCCAGGTTTGGGAAGTTACCTTTATTAAGTTAAAGAAGTTTGCTTTCACTCCCATATGTGGAGTTTAAAATCATGAACGGATGCTGGATGTTGTCACATGCTTTTTGTTGGATCTTTTGAGATGATCATGACCATTTGGTTTTTCTAGTTCAGTCTCTTAATGTGGTGGATTACACTGATTGAATTACAAATATTAAACCTAGCTTGCATTCCCAGAATAAACCCTACTTGGTCATTAACTGTCATCCTTTTATGGACTGTTAGATTTCATTTGCTAAAAATATAATTTAGCATTCTAAAGCAATGTTTATGAAAAGATATTAGACTCTAATTTTCTTTTCTTGTAATTCTTGTCTTTCTCTGGTCTTGGTATCAGACAATGACTTGGGAAGTGTTGCTACCTCTTTTATTTTTTGGAAGAGTTTGTGTAGAATTTGTATTATTTCTTCCTTTACTGTGTAACTGAATTCACTGGTGAAACTACTTGCTTGGAGTTTTCTTTGTGGGAAGGTTTTTAACTCTAGATTCAATTTCTTCATATATTTTAGGGATATTCAGATTTACTAATTGTTGAGTGAGTTTTGGTAGTTATACCTTTTAAGAAATTTGTTGATTTCATCCAAATTATTA